TTGCGCATATACGCCGTAGTCTCCAGATCATGATTCATCGATTGCAATGACTTTGAAGGCTATGTACTATGTATGTTGAATGATCTGCTCTGGTTTTAGTGGTAAATGGGTTTGCTAGAGATAGATCTAGTACAGTACATACGGAGCCGATACCGGGCTAGGATCGCGAGAAGCAACAAAGCAATAATACACCACCGGGTCATATACAGTAGGAGGAAGAAACATTAAAACAGATCTGTAGAAAATTTCCGACCCACGCCGCTTCCTTGAGACAGGAAGTGAACATGAAACCCACTCATGGAACCCGGAAGTTAACCAACCCACTCCACATTCGCGGCAAGGCAAGTTGCCGCCATGTCACCGTTGGAAAGTGGATGTATCACTTCTTGTCGGGACTACACATGTTTCGAGTATCCTACGTAGCTGCAATATTATCCTTATTGTCATTATTTTCATGATTATTACCACTATTATGACTATACTATTATTATTATTATTATTATTATTATTATTATTATATTATAGACGATATTCGTTGGTACCCTCCGCCCAAAGCCAAGAAGTCTCATGTCCGAGTCCGGACACAATGGGACGGGAGAGGTCCACTCGCTTGGTTGACTCGATGAGATCTCAATCTTAGAGAGCTTGGATAAGGAGGACGACTGGTCACATCAGTTGCAGGTATGCTCTCTGCTTGCCTACTCTTTCCATACGTGTTACACGCCGGTTTTGTCCAGATAAGGTCGGTCAATTGAGAACTTTGGACTTGAAGTGCAGAAAGTAGACAGAGTGGTTGCTAAGGTAGGAACTTGAAGACCCCAGATCCCGGCTAGCGGCTGGTGAGTCAATATTCCTGAAATGATAATAGTATTACAGTATTTGATTCGAGTGGCTCACTCACAATATTGATCATTACCTGGGCCGATACTTTCCAATCAAGGCCTGGGGGTTGGGGCTCGTTCGCCATTGACAGATCCATCGCGACGGTCTGGTACCACCCGCGAGCCCATCAGACTTAGTCATTGGGTGGGTGGGAACACGGCACCGTTTGGTTCTCGGAAATTTACGTTTTGTCAATTGAGTAGGAGGAACCGAGCGAGGCGGCAACTTAGAAAGCAAGAAACAAGGGATCACACTGTAAATGACGGATGACAGCCTCAAAGCCTGAGTCGGAGAATTATCTGAACCTATCTCATGGAGAGGTAGGGTTTATCGCCAGTGCTTTGTTTGATTAGGTTGAAAGTTGACAGAACCCTATCTTCGTCAGTACAGTGCTCCACTGCTACATCTACTTTACACACCTACTGGTAGTCATTACATACTATTTACTATGAGTTAAGTACTACGTATGTCCTCGTTTGTAGAGTAGTACATATATAATCAGAATTATTAGACCTTCCGCCTGCACTTTTCCCACAGCAGAGACTGTTGACTCCGTTTCGGCCGAGGCTCTGGGAGACTAGTCGACTTGACGCCGTCGTTGTTACGCATCCTCCCCATTATTGCCCATATCGGCCCTTTGGTTGGAATGGAGCTCCTCAGACCATTTCCACCTCCCGGTTTAGGACGATGGCGTTCTCCACAAGGAGGAACCATGTTCTCTGGCTGTCTTGTTATTACTGCTTTTCATCTTGTTCGAATTTGGGATAACTCTGGTTAGCTCGCAGTCCTTCTTCGTCCTTATATTGCTTACTTCATTTAGTTGTTATTTCTTTTTATTTCATCTTATTTCTTTTTTCATTTTGAGGAGGGGGAATTTTTTTTTCTTTCTCCTCGAATTTTCCTTTCCCTGAATCACCCATCCATCCCTTTTGCTTTGCCTTCCCTGGTCTATGCACCACTCTCTCCATGTGTGGTCATTTACGGAGAAAGAACTTTCACTCGAAGTCTCATAACAGGATTTCCAATTGTCCAACACCAAGCCTTTGTGGCTTGGACTGTTCGTCACTCATATTGCCTTCGATGTTACCACCCTGCCCTTCCTGGTTCATCCTATCATCGCGCATACTTGTCTAGTGACGCGATACTAGTCTATCGCAGCTTAAGGAAGCAGAGATCGCTGGATATCCCGCATGTCCCGTCCGCGGCCTCGTCTTCTTTTCAAAAGCTCTCGCAACGGAAGATAGTGGGTACGAACTCCAGCAGCGAAGGGTCCTGGGATATTGTACTTATGGGCTACAGTTGTAGTTTGAATGAGTTTTTGTTTTACCGTCTAGACAATCACCTCACCAACAAACCAAGTCACTGTAATAATAACCAAGACCGAGGCTAGGCTCGAACGTTCCCGGCGAGGTTTGACCGCCAGGAAAGCATTCCATTCCAGTATAGTCTAGTATCCGCGGGTGGAACCGTTATTCTTATGATCGTTCCCTTTTCTTTTTGTATTGAATCAGTTTCATGGGTCCTCTGTTTCTCTCTCTCTCTCCCCCCTCTATCTGTCTTCCCGGTTTGGTAGTTTACTGCCAATACAATTCTCAGGAGATAATCGATTCCACGAAGGTACTCTCTCGACAACAGTATGTTCATAGTACACTGTTTGAGGTGATGAATGAGGAAACCCTAGGAACATTATTGGGTAGGTATGTACGTACATCAACTACAAGGCATGGTATCCGGCTGAAGTTCGTTTCACTGACGACTTCGTAGTCCAGATGAAATCGCAATGAAGTCAGTCAGTCAAAATTATCCTTCTACTATCGACCAGTGTATTGACTCACAAGGCTGGTATTAATTCTAACCTGTATACGGAGTAGATAGTTATTCTGTACATTCTGTACTAAAAGCTAGTGAAGTGACTTTGCTGGGAAATGAAAAATAACCATCTACCGAATACGAGTAAATCAATGTACTGTGTAGGATACCTAATTAATCTCAACGGTCAATCCATGCCTACCTAATCATATTAATGTGCTTCATTTATTAAACGGCTTCCCGAAAAAAAACAACCCCCCCCCCTCCCCCCCACCACAGGGCCCTGGCCTCGCCTCTTCAATTTTAGCTTCTGTCTCTTGTTCCCCATACCTATTGCCTGCTACCTTAGTATTAGCTACCACCAGCACTTTGCTACTCTATTACTGTTGAGCTTTTCATTTGCTGTCTCTTCCATCAGCTGTCAATGCCGATGATCTCGTTTCTTATGCATGTCTAGGCGTTTCCACTGTCGTGTCTGGCCTATTTTCCTTTCCTCTTGTCTGTCACTCCTGGTCTTCACGATTGATTTCAATGACTTTCATCTCCTGCCTCTGTCGTTTCTTCTTTCTTGCCGCCTGTATACTTTGTGCCTAGCCATCACCATCTCACTACCACATTTGTTGGTTTACTTGCCAGCCTGGCACAACTTCAGAAGGCTTCCCAAACGCCATTTGACATATCAAGTCACCGTCTGCTATCCCCGTCCCCAAACCACTTGTGCATCCTGCCCTTGTTGCTTTTCAGCCTCTCTTCCTCTACGGCTCACTCGTTGGACTGGTTCCTACCCGTCAGCTTCCTATATTCCGACTATCTTGGAAGCACCCGGGTTGCCACGAGCTTTTGCTCCTCGCACTGAAGATTTCTGGCTTCTGTGAACCGTCGCTATCCTCAAGGCTCAGAAATAAACACAGTCGTATCCTTGGATTGAGCTTATCCACCTTGTTCAAGGTCGTTCTTCTACATTCGCTGGAAATTTCACATCGCGTACGGTAACCCGTGGGAGTGCCAAAACAGCTCTCATTGTTTTGTCCCCTCTTCCGGCCTCGACTGCTCTTCTAAGCCATACTAGCAGCAGGTTCTTTACCCAAGAGCAGCAATCCGTCGGTGTTAATCGCGCATATGATTGCGTTACAAAACCAGGCCATCTTACCCTCCGCCAAAGTGGATATCTCACTGTTACTGAAACCCCACGATGAAGAAGAGACCGCCTCGGTGACGAGCGCACCCACATATGCAACGAACACGATATCTCAAGCTTCATTGGTCCCGTCTCTGCCCGTGGCGACACCATCTTCTATTCATTCAGCAACGGCCGTCCCGCCGCTCACCAAAGTTCCCTCCTCAGTCCCTGTCAAGCGTCTTCAACCAGCACATACGGCGGAGTCCCCTGCCAAGAAGCAGTCAAAATGGTCTCCCGAGGAAGATGCTCTTATCATCGAATTGCGAGGCAGTGGTATGAAATGGGAAGATATCAGCAAGCGCCTCCCGGGGCGAAGTGCTATCAGTTGCCGTCTTCACTATCAGAATTATCTGGAACGCAGAAGTGAATGGGACGAGGATAAGAAAAACAAGCTTGCACGACTATATGAAAGGTATGCTATTGTTGCCGGAAGCCATCCTCCAGATTCGTCAACTTGACTTGGTATGGTGGGTTCTGGTTGGCTGACTCAATCCAGGTTCAAAGCTGAGATGTGGTCGAAGGTCGCAGAGGAAATGGCGATTCCATGGCGGGCAGCGGAAGCCATGCATTGGCAACTGGGAGAGCAGGAGATGGCTCGTCGTGCCGGAGTTGTTCCTTTCTCGCTGTCAAGCACTGCAATCGATCCGCCTGCGCCCAGAGCACGCAGAGCCAGCACATCTTTGTCTCGGCCGAGGAAAGGATCGAGTTCACGTTCGATACACCATCCACCGCAGCTTCCATCCGTTGAGGAACTTACTGCTGGAGTACCCGCATTTGCGCCGCCTCCGCCTTTTTTGCCGCCCCGCGAAGCATATAGGATAAGCCGCCCTTTGGATCTGGGTGGTAGTCTAGGCGGCCCATTCGGACCGAATCTCGGTCTTCCTCCTCGAACCCTTCCCTAGGCAGGCCGGGGGAACGGTGACGATAAATATGTCTATTGATTTTCTCCATTGCGTCGTTACGAATTGCATAGCGCTGGTTGGAGGTATTGGTCGTTTCTTCAAGGGAGGCTTTTATCATAGATGTTCATCTTCGATATGTGCATAGGTGGACTTCGCATTGCCAATGCATCAGAGTTGCATTGCAGTGCGGTTTTGATTTGGCAGGGGAAAAGAGCAATGAAGGGTTGTTCATCATAGGGAACGGCCCTGGGAGGCTTCATCGCATGCCATGCCATGAGAATGTGATACAGCACTAGGGTTGGGCCTCAGAATAGTCCACCCGCCCTCTGCGCACATCCTATGATAAATTGGGACCTGGCCGCATCGCAATTGCCCACCAATTATCCTTTTCATACCCCGAATCCAGAACATAGCCACCTGCGTCACTGATGTCCTGCTCTAGTTCCGAGGCTTGGTAAAGGTGATAGTATCGGTGGAACACTTGGGGCTCACTGCCAGCAGACGCAGTTCCTTTCATGACCCAGGGAACCATTCTGTCCTGTTGATCGCCTTTGTCCCAACCACGACGACTATCTTTCTGCTCTAGAGCCCAGACATAGATGAGAGCTTTTCCGCCCGGCACTGTATCGGAGGCAGGCTTTAGGGTCCGCAATATCTCACGGATAGCACCGACTCTCCGTTCTGGAGTAGACAAGTGATGAATCACTGCGATCGAAATGGCGAAATCAAAGGAAGAATCGGGATGTGGAAGGCTGAGGATGTCGGCGACTACGGTCGAATGTGGCTGGTGAGCTTGGGCAATGCGGGCAAGGTTCACAGACCTGGTATACGCCGGATCAGTTTTGAGACCCAGCAGGATATGAGTATTCATGATCATCTCTGTTGAGATTTGGGATCATTCTTTGTGTGAGAGGCATGGCTGGTATGATCATGGAAAGGTGAGGGGTCAGGAAGAGGGGCAGCAGGGATTAGTCACAAGTATATAAAGATAAACATGATAACATACCGATCTGAAGCTACAATAAAAACATCCTTATTTACACTCAGGTTCTTTCCATTGCCGCACCCCACATCTAAGCCAATTGACCCGGGCCTCAATTCAGTAAGGAATTGTTTCACAATAGGCCAGGGCTGACATGGCCACAGTTAGTGACGAACATACATTGGGACGTGGGGTTGAAAGAGGCCGAGGGAGGAGGGGGGGGGGGTGTGTGAAGAGAAATAAGAAAATACCTTGTAGCGGGTAGATGAAAAATGATGTGCAATCTGTTGGTATACTTGATGCACATTCTCTTCTTCATAGACGTCTTCTTCTTGCTGGCTGGGGACAAGGGTATTGGAAGCCATCATGGTCTTCGAGATAAAGGCACAGAATATGGTGATGGTGGAATTGATAGCACTCTACTACAAGACCACTCAACCAATGTGGTGTAATAATATGCTGAGAAGAAGGAATGGATGTCCAGGTGAGAAGGAGAAAATACCCGAGATGTTAAGCAACTTTTTCAATAAATGAATGAATCACAAATAAGAGATTTCCCGAGAAGACAACTTCCAGCTACCTCAGCATGTATGTATCGTTGTGATTATCCAGTACCGTATGGTAACTTATTCATTCTTGTTTTAGCTTAATTTACAGTAATGGGGGTTTTCTGACTAACTATATTAGGCTAGCTACGCTGGTCAGGTGATAGTGACGAATATTCACACAGTAAATGGTTAGAGACACAAGTAGTGAACTACTCCAAATCATGCAACAGCATTGGCACAGCCAAGAAGCATCTACTGATACTACAAGTAACTGAACCGAGTAGTAGGAAGTATCCCTATCACTGGAACCCAGCTTTGAGTCTTGAACTGGCAGATTACTTGAAGTGTTGATTAAGCATGTGAGTATCAAGCTAACCAGAAATGGCGTCACTTAATCTGTCCCGTCTCTACCTCCCCAAGGTTGCTCCCTCAACATTCCCGCTTGCAAAAGTATCTACACCAATAGTTACTTGCATGTCTATATTATATGTATGTCCTTGTATGACAGCATTGCCTTCATACTTATTGGGAGTAATTTGGGCCATACAGGTGCATTGCAATCCCATCTCTTTCCTTCCCTTCCCCCCTCTCCCGTCCTCGGCCATCAAAAAGGAATCAGAACCAACCCACCTTAAGATTCTTGTGGTTCCACATTTACTTTCTGTCATATCACTTGTCAACTAACATACGGCGCAGACTTGATCTATTGTCTAGTCCACGGACTCTAAGTACTATTGACCCAGGGGAAAAGAACAACACGGCTATTGAAGTTATCCCGCCAAGCTGCGCAAACTAGCGGTCATGGCTTTCCAACCCACGCCTGCGGATATTTCTGTTGTCATTACTACGCCTGGCACAGGCTCCAGCGCCGAGCCACGCTTCTTGACGGAGCGCCGAGTCACTCCAACATGGACTGTCATGCAGCTGAAGACGAAGCTCGAGACCATGACTGGTGTTCCGCCCGGCTGCCAGCGTCTTCGCCTTAGGTCACCTGGGCGCCCCGATCAGTGGGTCGAAGATGACAATAGTATTATCGGTGATTGGGGGTTGATGAGAGGCTGCGAAATAGAGGTAAGATATACTTCTTGCATCCACTCTACAGGCTGATATGGGCTCTGATGAGCACGCCAATCGTCCGCCATCCTCATTGCAAGAATTCTCACCTGCTTCCCCTCTATACCTCCTTTCCACCTCTCAATTGCGCATTGTCTGAGAACCAACGACTGGGACACTCTTGAGGGCACTCCGAACCTGCTGTTTACACAGTCGTTCTCTTTGAATTATCTATTGATGAGTGAATTCGTTACAGGTCCATGATTCCCGCCCTCAGGCTTCGCGGCTTAACCTCACAGACCTGTCGTCCGTCGAGAAGTATATACTGCCGACATCCACATACGAAGCGCTCTCGAATTCTGTTTTGGCGTGGAAAAAGAATCAGAAGCTTGGTCGCTTCGATCCCAATACTGTAAGACCCGAAGAGGCGATGCGCAGCCAAGCTTTGAAAGACGTTGGAGAGGTTGAACAAAGAGGTGAGGACAATGAGGACCACAAGAAAGCAAACCGTCTTTCCTTGCCGACTTCGAAATATAAAACAAATCACTGATCAAAGCGTTCGTGGTAGGCATTGTCGTTAACAACCGAGCCATTGTCCTTCCCTCGTCGCCGCCACATGTTCGACGTGGCACAATTCGCTTTGTTGGGCCAGTTCCGACAATCCCTTTCCCTGGTGTGGATCTTGAACTAGTAGAAATCGACTCCGCAGATTTTCCAGTCTGGGTAGGAATTGAGCTCGACGAGCCACTGGGTAAGAACGACGGGAGTGTTGGCGGAAAGAGATACTTTGTATGCCCGAATAAGACAGGTGTCTTTGTCAAACCTGAGAAAGTGGAAGTAGGAGACTTCCCGCCCTTGGGTTTGGATGATATCGATGCCGAAATGGAGGAGATTTAATAGACGGTAAATTGGCATGGCCACTACATGAAACAACCTTGCACTAACTGATACATAAGACTCCAATGAAGCTTTTAATCGCAGCTTAATTCTTCTGGACTCACACGCCCCGGCGCCAAAGAAATGGAATATGTGGTGACGAACTATATCCTTATCATCCCAGCAGTTAAGTGACATACTTGCTAATTCAGAAGCCAACACTCCGGTGGAAAGGCGAGCAAAGCATAGTGCGGATAGGCGAGGAGTTGAACGGAGCAATCCTCAAGAGGTGAAGTAGAATGGTCATAGCACGCCGCTGACTCATTTCGCCTTGCGCCCGGGCCCGGTTTTCTGCTTGCCCCTGGGCCTACCTTTCCCTGTAGTCGTGGGGCGCCCTGTCGGTGTGCTCGAGTCAGCTTCCATAATACCGGCCTTTGTCGCAGAGTCAGGGGCAGAGTCGTCATTTTCAGGTAGACAGCCTTGTGTGAAAAATAACCGTGCATCCTTGTTGTGCGTATTCGCAAAGCTGTAATAATTGCCTAGGAAGTGTGTCAGTTTCTGATAGAAATTGGACGCAGTCTAGAAGCAACCGACCTCTGGGCACTTGAAATACACAGCCTTTGCCCGCACTGAACCGTACCCCTGAGACATCTACCTGCACGCGTCCATTGCAAATGTAGAAAACCATATGCATTTTCTTAGAGTTTTTGGGCTTTTTGACTCCGCCAGGCGGCAACTCAACGATCCCAGAACCCATGAAGGGAGAACTGATGAGTTTAGCGAATCGCCACGACGAGTCCTTAACACTTTTGGTCTCCATGCCAGACGGGGCATATGCGAGATCTACGTGTAGAGTCAGTTGATGTTGAACCGGACAAGACTGGGAAGAGTGCAGTGAACCCACCAACGATGTCCGACTCTGCTGCCGTCTGAGATTCTGAATCCCACATTCTGACATAACCATGCAGTATTCCACCTTTCTTTTCCCACGGGTCTAAATAAGCCGCATCCTCATCAGAGTCTTCATCTCTACTCTGTTTCGCTCGAGACTTTTTCGAAGGGCGGCGTTTGCCTGAGTGGGATTGTTCTGGCTCAAGCTCTTCTGTGCGAATGATCTCCTTAATGGTTGACAATGGAAATCTTTGACCTTCTACAGCCTCGCCGCCACCGTAAACACATCGCTCGTTTCTCCAGTAAGCGAGAGGTCTTACTGAGACGCGACCCGATCGGGTATGCGTAGCAGTGTCGTCTGACGGGGCTTCGCGCTTCAACACATACAAGCTCCGACCCTTCAACGGCCCCGTGCGATTAATATAGTTCTCCACCACTTGATCCAGCTCAGCGTCGCCAGATAAACTCGATCTTCGATTAGTCTGAGCATCCACTCTAGGTTTCTTTATCAGTCTCTGCTCAGTTAGATCATGAGCTGTGCTGTGCTGAGACTTGGCGGGCCTGCCAGGGCGCTTGCGCTTTTGTGCGGCATCTGCTTGTACTATATCAGAAAGATCACTAGCGTCCGGAATGTGCAACCTCTGTCTTGTGCCATCCACGTTCGCCATCAAGGAAGCCTTAGGTCGACCTTTCGTACGTGCTTTGGGAGCAAGAATGAATGGGGACTCGGGGCGTGACTCATCCAAACTCAAGTCGTCTATAGGGTCCTGCGTCAGAACGTCGTCGTCGGCAGGGATGCTTTCTACTGCATCATGCTCCTGTCCAAGCGCATCCGCATTTTCGTCACCACTTGACTGAACGCTAGTATCGCTATCAGAGTAGCCTTGATTTATGAGCTGTTGGGCGACCATCTCAGTCTTCTTGCTAATGCGCGCGCTGTGCAGGTGGTTCATAGACGGTGTCGCGTTCACGGAACGATTGGTCAGAGGGGAGATGTCACGCCATGAGTCGCTTTTTGCGATTCCCAACCCCTTTCCATCGGAAGGACTGGAGGAGAGGTGATTGTGCTGTGGACTCTGCGACGACCGCAGACCGGGCGTTCGCCGCGGGGATCCTGTGAGCCCAGTTTTCATAGGCGATCGTGCGACAGGGGGAGGTAGATAAGAGCCACGTCTGCTGTTTAAATAGTCCGCAGGGCCAGGTCCAGTTCCTACATGGATAAGTTCTTACGGTCAGCATGCTTGATGTAGGTGTATCAAGAGTCTACAAACCCTCATCCATGGACATGCCATCTGAGCCGACTGAAGCTTCATTCCGGATGCCAAACCCATTGTCTCTCGTCGGGGAGCTTTCGGGGGAGGAGAATATGCCATCAACTTCTTCCATGCCGAATTCATCACGCCTTCCTTCCTTGAGGATTATTCCTGTGCGCCTGTACCGCTCGCTCACATTAGCCATTAAAGCAGGAGGCAAGTCAAAATGATTGCTAACGGAGTAGAGAAAGAGGCAATGGGAAGCAAGCTTATTTCCAAGGTGCATATTTACCTTCCGGCTTTGCCAACGTTGGCGTAATCATAGTCGCGAGCTTTCGAGGGCCCCCGGGGAGCCATCACTGCGGAGCTTCGGAGCTGTATGCGGCGCTGTATGCGGCTAGAATAAGAACTGTGGCAGGATGAGAAGAATCCACGTCGATAGCTTCGGATGCGTACTTCGTGGTTGAGATTTACGCGGCACGAAACTCCTTGAGTACATGAAATGGGGCAACTCAGTTAAAAGATACTGCACTCTCGAGCGCGACAAGTCGTCCAAGTCGAAATGGCACTGACTGCTACGGTGGGGAGTTTGGGATTCATGGAGGCGGCGGCGAAAGTGACACGCGCTAGTCCTGAACTGTTTGGGACGCGTCCCCATGTTGCCGATTGATAGATATTCGGCTTCCTAGGATACCGCAGCAGCTCTTTCAATTTCATTCTCTTCCTTCATTCATTTATCCACTCAATTTTTCTTTCTTGCATCGGCTAGTCAGTCCTTAGACTTTACTGTGCTCTGGATGCTTCCTTATTTTGTCTCATCTAAAACCCGCGTCGCCTGGAATTGACTGACACCCCAGAACACAGAAGATGGGGGAATCCACTCAGGATGATGTCTGCGACCTATCTCCAAAAGCTTCCTCAACTTCGGCCTTCACAGGCTCCTTTATACCCCCCAGCATAGATCATACTAAGATGCTATCTGGCGACTCCTACTCCTACTTCTCACCACGCCCACTCTTCCTCGCTTCAACCAACTCGACTACCGGGGACGAACCATCACAAGACGACTATCTCGTCCTCGGTGTGGACGAAGCGGGGCGCGGCCCTGTCCTCGGCCCGATGGTTTACACTGCCTTCTACTTGCCGCGTCAGCTTCACCATTCCCTTCTTTCTCGAGAATACAGCTTCGATGATAGCAAAGTGCTTACGCCCGGGGTGCGCATGAACCTAATGAGACTGTTGTGCACTCCCGGCAATCGACTTTTTGAGTGTTGCGGATGGGCTACGAAGCTGCTATCAGCACGCGACATCTCATCAGGCATGATGCGACCTGGCGCTGGGTCTTACAATCTCAATGCTCAGGCAATGGATGCTACGGTCGAGATCATCCGAGGCATCATTGAGGAGAGAGGCATAAATGTGGGGGAGGTCTACATTGATACGATTGGAAATCCCGTGACATATCAACATAAGTTGGAGAAACTTTTCCCCTCCTTGAAGATAACAGTGGCCAAGAAGGCTGATTCCTTGTATCCCTGTGTCAGCGCCGCAAGTGTTGTAGCCAAAGTGACAAGGGACATTGCGTTGGAGCTAAGCCACAAAGAGGTCTCAAGAAGATGTGCTACTGAAGAGCCTTCTCGAAAGGCCACCATTCAAAGTTGGGGTAGCGGATATCCTTCGGACTCAAAATGTGTCGGCTGGCTTCGAAACAATATGGATCCTATCTTCGGGTGGGGAAACGAATGTCGATTCAGCTGGGGAACTGCGAAGGAGATGTTGGAGTTTAAGGGAGGGTCGAAAGTCGACTGGCCGGCGGAGGAAGACTATTCACAGCTAAGGGACTTCCTCTTAACATCTGCCGGTGCCAACACCGGATTATACCATGAAGTGCGAGAATGGTACGGGTCGAGGTCAACAGACATTCTTCTATGATATAACATTCAATGCCTCGGATCAGTGGAGGATTATGACGATAATGACAAATTCAATACCCGATTCACATACATCTTAATACGCCCAAAAGAGATCAGGTCCACAGAACGTTGATTGCAGACCTCAGATGTGGGGGGAAACCAGGTGAGATCGTGTCAGCAAGGGCAAGCGGATTGCGACCAGTCAGTCACAGAGCTGTCTTAGATGGATCGAAGCCATGGCAATAAGTAGTAGAAATCTAAATTGAGTTGCAATTGCAACTAGAGGAACGAAAGATCATAACGTCGCACTTGAGAAATAGTAATTATCCCATAAGTATTCGTAGTCGTCAATGACGCTGCCCACCAGGTCAAGCAGGGGCTTGCCCTTCATCTTCCCAGTCAAACTCCGTAGCCAAGGTCTATGTTCATTAGTATTCTTCCGCCGCTGCAAGGACGGGTCCAGAACACGCACCTGGTCAAATTCGTATAGAAAGCCCCCCGCATGGCCCACCAACCCATCGCCCAGCCTCTTTTTCTGAGTTCTTCACGTTCAAGTCCAGTCAGTCCTCGAAGGCCGCCGGCAACTCTTTCTCGAAAGTCAGACTTAGCAAGCTGTCGGCACACATATTCTAGGCCAAATCCAACCAACCAAGGTCTCCAGCTATGCCTGCTTTCGCTGTATTTTTGCAACGCTAGCGCGTAGACCACTGGCCGAAGGATGTATAAAACTTCAGCTAGTTGTCCTTGGCCAGTAACGCGATGCAATAGAGCCTTAGGGGTTTTAATATCGTCGGCGGTGAGGACCTTGGATATCAGGAAGTGGGAGACATCATTTACTTCTGGCAGCGACGGGAGAGATAAGCCCGTCCGAGGCATTGTCCAGCTCAAATCTGACGGTCGTTCGCTAACGGGCGTTTGCATCCCATTCCAATCGCCGTCCACTTTGTCTAGCGATCTGGGATCAATGTCTCTCTCAGGCAGCGGGGGGGTCACCAATGGCCTGGACTTTGTAAGACGAAGAAGTAATAGACGACAGACCGCCTTGATGGCTTCAATGAAGATGACGACGCGCCAACGGATCTTCTCCCCACGTCGACGGGCAATCATCTCCCAGAGCAGTTCTGTGTACTGGACCATCTGTAATGCGAGTGCAACTTTATGATAGAGCGAAGAGCGAGACGTCCAATATTTAGTATATCGCGTGTGAGGAGTCGGTATCGGCCGCGGGATAGTCGGCGATAATCTGGAAACAACTCGAGAAACAAGAGCATCGTGATAAAGGGACAGTAGCTGGACTCCCGAATGTACTGGTCAACCCACACAAAGTTAGGCGATCAGACAGAATTTGCAGACTGACACTACTGATGCTGGGCAACATACCACACTCTGAACTTATTTCCGAGTCTCGGTATCGCCCTGGAAGACATTAGCTTTTCTCCTCCCCGGGAACTGTAATTGAATAGGCCAGTGGTCCTGACCTGGAATGATATATGTTAAGGATCTCAGCGCCGACTCTATCTGGCTTACGGAGCTAGCGTTCTTGGTTACAAATTCTTCGTACAACAGCAACCATCTTGAAGGTCGTAGCAGGGCAGCAGAGGCGGCACTCTCAGTCTCGCATGTAGCGTCCATCTCCACAAAGGGGAGAATCAATAGTACAAATGATGTCGCTAAAGGTTCAGAGCGGCGAACGGAAGCAGGCCGTTTTGGGGTGCAGCCAGGCTCGGCTGGAGTGCTATGCTCACAGGAAGAGATCAGGTTCATCCGCGGAGAAAAGTGGGCATCCCCGAGAGATGAGGCACGTGTACCGCGTCTGCCAAGGGATCATACATTAATCACCGCGGCACCGCCCTGATTGCCGAGGTTCAGCTGAATCGGGGGGTTCTTGGCATTGTGGCCTTTGCACAGTGTTTGGTAGGAGAGCTAACACCGATGACGTTTATGATCACACGAATCGCTAAGATACTAGATTCGATATGGATTGAGTTGAACTCCACGATTATCATGTACTACACGTGCTCACTCATCTGCAAATTTCCAAAGACCTCCCGGCCGCATTGCTTCTCTATACCTGTCCTTCACCAGGTCCTTCTCGAGCCTCCTGGCTTCCTGGTGGTCGCGTTCCAATTCTTGGGTGCTAGGCATATCAGTACGCCAAAACCCGGGTGGAGACCCGGCACGTTGATGCTGCTGCTTGTGTTTCCCAAATTCATTAGCTATCAGCCTGGCCTTTGCTTCTTGTAAGAGATGATTCCGGTCCTCCACACTCAATTCACTGGACAGATGTTCTTTGTCGCCAACAAATTCTTCAAGGATTTTCCGGTCATTCATTTCGCGCAGCTGAACGGAGCATGTTGCATCTGCTGGAAGGCCACTCATTCGTGCCAAACCTAGAAATTTCTTCCCACAGCAATCGTAACGGGTGCATCCCTTGACACATTTCCCTTCAGTCTTCTTGTGAACCACACGGTGAAATGCATAGTCATAACCTTGATTGAAGTCGGGGTTGATTCTGAAGTCTTTGAGGTCAAGATGTTGAACCGGCCGTGCTCTTATAGAACCTCCTGCGGGGTGGACTGCAGTGTCCCTTGTAGACAACAGGGAATTATTGACGGATTCGGTTCTCGAAGCTCCATTGTTCGGGGCTATTTGCGGCATTTCTGCTATGTCAAACCCATCGGGATTGTAATTTAGTGTGGGTGTTTCTTCCATTATTGCGAAAGGACGCTTGAGGGCCCTGTCTGAAACGCCCGAGTTCCTTAGCAGTGATTGCAACTCCAACTTGGCAGGTGACTGCCCCTCGAGCAGACCCTGCAGACGCTGATCAGTGGTAGCTTCGCTGCCAAAACCTGGGGTGAGACCTGAAGCTCCTGCCTCTAATGCTCTGTGCAACTTCCTTGAAGGTAGACTCGAGAAGTTTTCATCGCCGTCTTCAAGGATTGAAGATATGTGGGCATATGCGGGTGACCTTTGAGCTCCTTCTTGAGGTTTCTCTGGCGACCGAGCACATCTTCCACCTCCAGGGTTGGCATTGCTGGACTTCAGCATAACAGGTTGTTTTGGGGAGGAGAGAGATAGTGGCGGAGGTGGACGTGCATCTCGACTAACTTCACTGATTGCTGGGGTAGTTGTTCTCAGGAGATCGCCTCGTACTTCACTATCTCGAACTTTCCTCCTCTTTCTGGGGGTTTCGACAGTACTACCCACTTCGTCTAGATCTTGGGTACCCATAGTCCTTACCGCAGATGATAGTTTGGGCGACGGTTCTGGAGACAGATCTTCATCTTTGACCAAAGTAGAATCCAATGCCGCGTTTCTTACACCTGTGGTCAAGGTTGAATACCGGTTCATGAAGGCTTTAGGGACATTTTGCGATATTATAGACTCGGACTCTGGTGCTTTCATCCCCGACATAGAAACTTGGGCAGTTGGAATAACGTTCTCATTTTCGGACAAACCCGACTGTGTTAGTGTTGATTGCGCTGGTGACAATCGAATCGAGCCGTTGCATTTGCTCTGGTCTCTGTTCTTCGCGTCCCAATGCCCTGCACCACTATTATCAGGATGGTTCGTTCTCAAGGTCTCCGGTGGGGAGATCGCGGCTTCATCCGCAATGTCATGATCATTTAAGCCCGACACGGGAACAGAAATGGTTGGGTTTGTGGCCCGCGACTTTCTCTGGGTATCAATAGAGACCTTTCCAGTACATCTGAACTCAATTGCTGTGCCTTCGAGCACCAAAGTGAATTTATCAAGCTCGAGACACTTTTGCCAGAACTTTAACTTTCCCTTGTATCTTTTGACTTGTTTTCTGAGCTCGCACGAGGCCATAACAAGCTCCTGAGCCTCCCCATATAGGGCCGTATATGCTTCAGTAACGGCTTTGATCTCGTACGGATTGATACCAGAGACATCACCACCGAAGGCATGGCTGAAGTGTTGTAAGACCTGGTTTGGGGCATATGCTGCTTCAAAGTCACGAAACTTCTTCGTAGAAACTTTATCGTCTTCGGACCCAAAGTCGGTAAGGCGTAGCTCTTCACGTAGGAGAGTGATGGCATCTTTCAGCGAGTCCAACTCTTCCAAAGCCCTACTCCGTTCTTTCTCGGCATTCGTAGCCCTCTGTTCAGCTGTATGTGCATTCGCATCGCGGTAGGAAATCTCGGCTTTCACATTCCTGATAGCCTCATCGAAGCTGTTCTCTAGTGCTCGAGTGAGAGAAGATCGAAGCGTCCTAATGGCGTCCATCACGAGGACATCATCAGTCTGTGAATGAAGGGTCACATGAATGGTGAGATTCTCTGATTTATGCACTGTGGATAACAATAAGACTGGGATAAGCACATCAATTAGTCAACGTGTTGATGTAGGGATACATGGGGAGGAAGTACCAAATATCTGTGAAGTAGTTTAAGATATGCCTCCGTAATGTTTTATGATCTCTCTGGGTCGCATAAGCCTGACCTTAGTAAGCGCTGATCTCATGTAACCTATTCAACCAGCTGCGGTACATACGAGTTAGTAATTTGGTTAATCAAACTAGCTACCTAACCATGTTCATTGGAAAGGCGTACAGCATGCCGCTTTGGCAATCATGAACCAGTTTGTCAATTCCTGAGTTGTTATATCTTATCTTTCGCCCCGAATAATTAGCTTGCTTCGTGGCCATTACTGGGTAAATGTCTAAACGACATTACGAAGATGGAGATCCAGCACCCCGTCCCTCGAAACGTGGGCGCCAACCCAATATAATATCTTCTCTCTCGGATGAATTACTACTCCACATATTATCCTTCTTACCCATCCCGTCTTTGATAGTCTGTCAACGGTACGTTCCAGTCTTGCTCAAACCATCTCTGTCAAGACATGAGCTGACGAAGATCTACAATGAAGGTTGTCATGCCGGTTCAAGGCGCTTGCAGAAGACTCAGAAATCTGGAAGCGACATTATTACCACCGTTGGATTCGACCTCGATTAGCAAACGTGAGGCGTACCGTTATCTCCCATCCAGAGGTCAGATATTCTCCCAAGGTGTCAACATGGCTGGATCATGGTCACTTGGCAGATGAAGGAAGGACTATGAATTGGAAGGGCCAATATCGTCTTAGGCACAATTGGTCTAAAGGAATCTGTCGTGTCTCCGAAGTCGAGTTCTCTCACCCATTTGGTCGATCGGCGTTGGTCGCTTTTTGTGCTGGCATTATTTTCACAGTCGACCGGGACTACTGGCTCCGAGCTCAGTCTACCAAAATTCCCGCGTACTACCTCGCAGAGATCTCTTTAGCAAAACCTCGAACGCCTCTAGTTGCCTTGCCCACAGCGCTGACGGCAATGGTCGGTTCTCGCCCGAATACAATCGAGGTTGTTGTTGGATTCGAAAACGGTCACTTCGGGATATATAACCTGGACATGGCTACATCAGCACTGGACTTCCACACCACTTGCGCTGGATCGACAAGCGGCAGCATTACTGCAATAGCCTCGCTTTACCCCTACATCCTCTTGGCATCTGACCATAAAGCTCTGTCACTTTTCAAAATCACGACCGGTTCCGATGAGCGTAGCCGCTCGCTGCCCAAGGAACCGGCTTTATTATCATGTCTCAAGGCAGACAGCATCTTAGAGCCGCTGTCAATCTCGATTCGTTCGGTAGGCTCTGATATTATATCTTCCATAGTGTACAGCTTTTACCATGTTGGCTGCGGCTGGTCTTTGGGGATTCAAGAACTTCATTTCAGCCTGAGTGAATTACAGCAGAAGTGCTCGCGGCTCACAACAACCGTGGATTCTCAGTATGGAGTTTGTCCGCCACTTGGTCAGATCTACTCAAGGATCGACATGCCGTGCACGTGGGATGCGACAAATATCAAGAGCATGAGGCCAGCTGAACCCGCGATACATCATCAGGAAACTCCGACTTCCGTCTCTTACTCACACCCTTATTTGATAACGTCCCACACGGACAATACTTTAACCGTGTACCTTGTTGTCTCCACGTCCGCGGGCTTGTATGTCAAAGGTGCACAGCGACTCTGGGGTCATACGTCTTCAGTATCAGCCGTGCAAGTGAGTGATCGTGGCAGGGCGGTATCGGTAAGCTCCCGGGGAGATGAGGTAAGAGTGTGGGAACTCGAAACCCTAGTCTCAGCTTTCGGGAAGCAACGAGCGCGGAGACATGGAAATAGTATTCGAGTTAGTCCTGAAAATAGGCAGAGTGATGTCAGTGAACAGAGGTCGAGTTCTCCGACAAAAGCCAATGCTCTGCTACAAACCACAGGAGTTCCGCACCACCTGCCTGAAATAAGTGGTTGTATTGGATTTGATGATCAATGTGTCCTCCTACTGCGTGGTAAGGGAATTGACGTGCACATGCTGGAATGTTATGACTTCACGTGAGTGGGTCAAGATCGAGATTTCTACGTATAGAGTTTTCCAGCCAGTGGAATTCCAGTCAAGGAGACCTGTGCTTCAATGCTCAGATTTACGGCAGGCTTCATTCATAGTAGGTTAGATTCTCAAGTAACATTCACTTATGTGTTGTTCAATTATAATGAGGTGGGCTTGGGGGACCTTGGGAGGGATGCCTTTGCATTTTTATATAAAACATAGCACATGGCCCTACGTCCGGCTCACCCTCCGGTTCCACGTTATGTCTTGGTCCTTTGTTTACTTGGATGAAGCGAGGCTACGGTTGACTGACAGGCCCAGGCGGCCTCTTGGTAACAACACACTTTCCTTATGGGTATGCAGAAATTTCTCGGTTCTGCAACTGACCCCAGCTCATCAGGGCGGTCTCGCTAGCGAAGCCTAACCAGTCAAAGTGGTCAATTCATAGACAGGGATCGTGTGGCGCTGGGAAATATGGTGGAGGAGAGAGATGGGAGTGGGGGATTGTGTTGATCTACTATCAAGATAGTATGAGGCCCTCCCCATTTTGACACACCGATTATGAATCCTCTCTCTCCTAATATGACTACTTACCACATGCCCTTCTGTATTTGTTCAGCTAGTACTAACTTACACCACAATTGGAAGTGAAGTCCAAGCAAAGAGAAAAGGAGGCTATTTGTCAGGTGTCCTCGTTCCTTGTTGTGTGCGGCACTGCGGCGGTTCTTAGTGTTAAAGCCCTGCAGGTTCCCCCGCACCAAATTAGCATATCTTTGTTTTATGGTCTGCATTAATTAGGGTGACTCCTCTCTTCCTGTTCATTATTACCACTAAATCTCTGATCGCCCAGACTTTCCCCTCAACCTCCATCTATCCTCACAAAAAAAAAAATCCCAAAATCACCGCCCTTCTTCCCCTCTTTCGTTACCTCAACCCCTCTTAAACCAGCTATTTTCCACCACAAGACAATATGAGTTTCCAAGCTGGAGGTCGTGGATGCTTCAACTGTGAGTCTACACAATTCTTGAATCCAACCAAAATATTATTCGTGGGCGCGATTCTGGCTGCAGCGGCAGTTCTCTTGGCCTCTACAGAATCCTCGAGTCCTGAAGCTCAAGCCAGAAAGTACCTTATTCCCTGGCTGCCAAGTCATATTTGCACCCACAGTCTGAAGATTTTCCCGGTCGCGCAAGTCTCTTCTCTTGTTCCTAGTCCCATTGGAATCGAGTACAAGTTGCTATCTTTCTTGCCCGGGACGCTTGAGGGGCGGATCTGGTCTCAGCATTTTGCACAACATCTCAAGAGAGTGAAAATATCATTTTACTATGCACACCTGGATACTATAGACACTAATTCATTTTCTCCTTTGCAATCTAGGCGGCGATGCCTCGCATCAGGTAAACATCGCCTACTTCCAGGACAAGTTGGCGGAGAGCATCATATCCCGTCCCCGTCGGCTTGTTCCGTGGCATTGTCGTTAAAGGAGTCTGACTATTTTTAGGCCCGCGATTGCCCCAAGAAGGGTACCCCTACTTGGTGAGGATTATCGTTCCTGGTTGAAACAAACTTACTTACCAGTCCTTCACAGCTACAACTGTGGTGGTCAGTTTTCCCACCAGCCCTTCTCGCATTCACTTTCCCTTCTCGTTATCTTGACTATTGGCTACCGACTTCTGGAAGCTACCCAGTTACTGGGCAGTTAAATTTGGTCTGACTTGTTGATTTTCCAATCTCAGGTCAGGGACACGTTAGTAAGTTGTTCACTGATGCTCTATGCTTCTATTCTGGTGGACCAGGCTGACACATTGCAGGTCGTGAATGTACGGTAGCCCCTAAGGAAAAGTCATGCTATCGTTGTGGAGCCACTGGTCACATTTCTCGCGAATGTCCTCAGGCTGGCTCGGGCGAGAGCTACGGCGCTGCTGGTGGTAGTCAGGAGTGCTACAAGTGTGGCCGGGTCGGCCATATCGCGAGAAACTGTCCCCAGGGTGGCAGCTATGGCGGTGGCTTTGGCGGCCGTCAGCAGACTTGCTACTCTTGTGGCGGCTTCGGCCACATGGCTCGCGACTGCACTAATGGCCAGAAGTGCTACAACTGTGAGTTATGATCCCTCTCAGTCGACATCAGCTTGGAAACTGACAATCACATAGGCGGTGAAGTTGGACACGTTTCCCGCGATTGCCCCACCGAAGCCAAGGGTGAACGCGTGTGTTACAACTGCAAGCAACCTGGACACGTTCAGGCTGCCTGCCCTAACTAGTTTGAATGCACTCTGGACTGTTTGTCTTCTGTCACGATGTCTCGCATGGGACCAGACACAGGAATATGCACCTCGATCGCGCCATCATTGACGATCTGCAATTCATTTCTCCCGCTTTATCCTGAAGCCAATTTCTGACATGGCATACGAGCCTGGCTTTGAATACCTCTATCAACCCTATCTGGTCTGTATAGATATCCGAAGGATATCTATTTCACCATGAAGTTGTATGAACGATCTGCTGTCTTGCTTGGAGACAGTAAGGCTAGATTGAGGACTGATAGGTGCATTGTGTTGCGGGTGGACAAATAGATGAAATCACTTGTGTGCTGTGGAAGACTTTTGTCCACGATAATGGAATTATCTTAACGGCAATCTACATCGATTCCACAGAACTTCTCCCTATCTTGGACCTCCTTGCTGAAACATTCGATCTTTCTGCTTCATTATATTCACCACAGAGCAATTCGAGGGGCACCCTTCATAGTGTCATTATCGAATTGTTTCCATCATTGCGTAGTTTACTGCTCTCTAGAAGGCAGTGCAGGCTCTCGCTTTGAGGCAGTATGTTATGCTCGAATGAAACTGAACGAGCAGGGCACCAATAACATATCTAAGCAAGGCTACCATTGTAAAGATAGAATATCGAATATCCGCAGGGGACCAAAAATTCTTTTCATGAGCTACAACTGCACATCATCGCTCTTTTGAATTTCGGAACATCGCCGCAGAACCGCCGTTCCTCCTGTTCATCTAGACCCCAATCTTCGGCGAAAGGCTTCAGTGCCATTTGCATCACTCGCCCGAGGACATCTCGGTCCCCCTTGCGCTCCACGCGGTCAATGACCTCGTCAAGTATCCAGCCACGTGGTAGGAACTATTGTGTAATTCAAGTCAGCAGACGACCACAATACCCCGAATTTGTCGATCCTCACTCCCGAGAGAAACATACGCTTGGATTTACCAATTTCATTGACGTTTGCCTCGCCGTATCATTGTCCGTGTCCCAGTCTTCCAAGACGCGAGTTCTCCATATCTCAAGCCAGTGCGCAATGCGTTCTCTAGCTGCTGCTTCTGTCAAGCTGGCATTGTCAAATCCCTCATTATGGAAAAAGATCGATGCCATTTCCGTTCTTTGGGCCGATGTCTCGATATCTGAAAGTGGGATGTTTGAAAGTCTCCTGAAAAAATGGTTGAAATCCAGCTCCAATGCTTCCATCATGTCAAGCATTTCAGAAAACAAATCCTGGAAGTCTGTCTCTCTATCCGTTTGAAGGCCTAACCTCCTTCTCATGAGTTGCTTGTATTCACTCAGAAATACAGCCTTGAATTCCTTGCCTGTTTGTTCAATTATTTTTTCTGCACGTTCGACTACGGCCGGTGCGGAGCTTTCAGTCAGCCCTTTTTTCACAAATTCTTCATGATCCACTTGGTCTCCTGCCCCAATGAGTTCCCCGAGGGATTCACCCAGTCTGACCAGATTCCACCAGATGATACTAGGCTGGTTCTTGTAAGAATACCTCAGTAGGTGGTCATCGTGATTGGGCGTGTACTGGGGATCAAAGTTATCCATAAATGCAAAAGGGCCGAAATCCATCGACAAGCCGCAAATCGAGGTGTTGTCCGTATTCAGAACACCATTCATGAAACCATAGGCTTGCCAGGCAGCAACAGTCTTGGCGTTGCGGCGTGCAATCTCTCGATAAAGCCTCGTGAACCTGTTTTCTTCCAAACCTTGATTCTCCTCCACTTCGCTTCTTGGAGTATACTCGGATGGGTTATCCATGGCAGGCGAGGGTTGACTATTGTTTGAGTACACAACAGAAGGGAGAGTCTCCCATCCATGGAAAACTTCTTCGGCGACATATGTCGCCAACTTTCGGATCAGGTCGCGGTCTCCACGTGCACGCAATAGATCAAAAGTGCCAATACGGAGCCAAGATTCTGCAAATCGAGTAACAACGGCTCCCGGTTCAATGCGCTCTCGCAATACTTTCGATCGCGGCAATAAAGTAATGGCTAAGGCCCGGGTCGTTGGAATACCGAGTGCCGAAAGAGCTTAAGGAGCAATTAGTTTCCGCCAGTATAACATCTCTTCGGGGAACCACCTTCAGAGACAATGTATTCTCGGATGCTCGACCGGAGCACAGCTTTGCCATCAGCAAAGCGTGAGTAGGGCGTCCGTCCAGCTCCTTTCAACTGCAGCTCATAACGAATGTTCGTGTATGGATTAGTGCTCTCAAAGAGGCTTATGGCGCGCTGCTCAATGTCAATTCAATGCATATAGAACGTTCAATTGCGGCCAGGTGCCACACACCCCGTCTCCTAGTTGACCAGCCCATGAGCCACTACCATTTGTCAGTAGGATGCATAGCACTACCAGCCTACAGATCCTGTAACGTACAATTGCCACCCTTCAAGCTGTTAGTCGGTGGTTTTCCATTTTCGTGCATATGGGAAACGGTGTGAAAGTGGCGTGCATTGAAAAACTTGCCTCCATAGCATTGTGCCCAAGGATATATTCCACCCGTAGATTGGTCCCACGGAAATTCATTTCCAGAAACCAGGGCACGGAATTCTTGTGTAATAGTTTCACTAGATGCGAGTCCAAGATCGTCCAAGGCTTTCGGGCTTACCCCCAGAATCTCATACTTCTCTGCTGGCTCGGGCCTCACAAACGTGTAAAGCGCACCCCTTACTAAGCGCGGCCCCAGAGCCTCGCGAGGAGCTCGATGCGATATTTCCGGTGTTTCAAACGCAGGGTCGGCAGGAAGCTTGGATGTGAAGACATTGGACTTGGAAAGCTCGCGCAGCGAAACCCCTTTGCCGGATTTCTGGAATGACGAAGCCATGTGATAAGACCGCCCAGGAGGCATCCACAACCCTTTGGGAACTCTGCGGAAGGATGCTAACTTGGTGTAGGGATATGCAAATCGAGCATTGATTATGACCATGAGATTTGTGGTGCGGACTGCTCATCAAAGTGAGCCGATACCAACTTCTATATTGTGCCTCATTCGGAAAGTTGGTATAGGTAATGGTCAGATCTTGTAAAATATGCGGAGTAACTTAGCGCCTCTCCGCTAAGATTCGGGAACTTGACCGCATATCTAAGGATGACGTCAAACCTTCGGATTTCTCATACGTGCTTACTATACATGAGTATTTCATTGTCTTTTCTGAAAAGCTTTATATATTGATCTATTTTCACACATCACAGCTCTTTATTGATAGCATACGTATGCCCAATGGCGTCCACCGCCCGGAATTTTCCATTTGTCAGATTGGGTGACGGGATAAACATCCCACTGGTAAGTTGCTCCATGCTTTTCTATCTGTCGCGTGTATCGACGCCTCTTTTTACCGGCGGTGTTTTCCGGCTTAATAAATACTAATGATCGTAACAGCTTGGGTACGGCAGTGGGACTGCCTGGTATAAAAGGACAACGGATGAGAGTATAGATCGCGAACTTGTCAGTTCCATGAAAACGGCTATTCGATTGGGATATCGTCACCTTGATGGAGCCGAGGTCTATGGAACGGAGCCTGAACTGGGTCTTGCCATTAAAGAAAGTGGCGTTATTCGGGAAGACTTATTTGTGACGACGAAGGTGAATACCAACATCGCTGACATCCCGGAGGCCATTGATCTGAGTCTGCGGAAGCTCCAGCTCAGCTACGTCGATTTGTATGTATACCGTACCTAGATCTCCGGCATCCGTTGCATTAAAAGTCGTGAAGTACTTATGGGCGAGATGAAGATACTTGATTCATTCGCCGTTCTTTGCCGAGTCCGATGATGATCTCCAAAAAGCTTGGGCTGCCATGGAACGGGTTAAGGCCGCTGGCAAAGCCCGGTCCATAGGAGTTTCCAATTTTCTCCAGGAGCACCTTGAAGCCATCTTGAGTACAGCCACAACGCCTCCGTCGATCAACCAGGTTGAGTTCCATCCTTACCTTCAACACGGTAATCTGCTAGAATTTCATCGAGACAGAGGGATTACAACCGCTAGCTATGGCCCCTTGACTCCGATCAATCGCGCCAGGGGTGGTCCTCTTGACCAAATGTTGTCCGGTCTGGCCAAAAAGTACGCGGTCAGTGAGGGAGAGATCCTGTTGAGATGGGTTATGGATTGTGGTTCCGTGGCGATTACGACCAGTAGTAAAGAATCCCGCATGAGTAGCTACCTGCGTGCACTTGCCTTTAAGTTGACACCCAAGGAAGTTAACGAAATGTCCAGACTAGGCCAGCAGGCACATTTTCGAGCGTTCTGGCGAAATGAATTCGCTCCTTCCGACCGTTCATAGTGGTCTTTATGTGTTTGTACAGTCAGTGTCCACGAGGTTAAAACATAACCTGATTCCAGTCCACAAACATCAACATAGAGTTAATGTCTGCGTTGAGCATTCGGACAGCAAGGAAACACCATGAGAGGTGGAGGTCCTGAAGAGGCACAACAAGGAGTTGACGGCAAACAAGAAGTCGATGTCTTAAAGAATCTTTTGGACTAGAGCCGAGAACTAATATATGTATTGTACTGGTAGTTATACAGAGTACGGAGTACTGCACCATACGCCTTCCCGCGCGCCCATTAAGATACTGCCAAGCGGCTCCGCTTAGAACCCGGCCGGAGTATTGACCTAATCTAGTACTCGTACTGAACAACAAACTCCGTTCGGCTCATCTTCGACATTGACACTCTACTCCCCCTCTCGCTGTGAGCCTAGGTGCATCGATTATCCTAAACCTTGGGCTAGGTGTTCCTTCTCTATCCTTATGGCCAGATACTACAGCCATAGGTTCGGCATTGGCTTGGGCGCTCGATAGTGCGGCATATTAGGTATCGGCTTCTAGTCGGCAACCCACCCCGTGCCCAGGGCAGCCAAGACTCCAGGAAACTCACTTGCATAGAGGAGATATTACTCTTGTGGACCGCAGGGTCTGTGACTGAATATTGTTGAACAGGCTCTGCCACGGTAGCTGGCTATGCGCGGCTGAAGGGGACGCCGGGATTTCGAAGGAGACCCAAGGATCAGATCAAGGCTTGGGGCACTATATAGATCGGTCACGAACCGATGGGAAGTTAACAAGGAATCACGACACCAGACCGAATGCGATAACGCTGCTTGGATGTTCAACACCATTGGAACACAGATCGCAAAAGCACACATGCAAACGCACAGCATCTCAAAGAAGTCAGTCAACACGGGTGTTGGAGCTAGGAAGCCCAAGTGTGGGGTGGAAATATTCTTACAAGGAAGTGCATGCTTGCTATAGCTGCTGTCAATCTCCCACACATCTATTTGACGGACTGCCATGTCGGGAGAGCATTCTCTTCGCCCCGCGAACGCTGAATCGAGAGGAACCAAGAGAGCGAGCGAACACAGATATAATATAGATCAAGACTCCATTGATCGACGATTGAAGAGACTTAAAGATCAAGTCCTTCCACTTTATCCCTTCCTCCTTACTGTCCCGACTGATGTGCCTTTTCGTCTTGGAGGGCGCTTTGTTAATAACTGGGCAGTGAGTGATGACGGCCCTTTCACGCCAGAGGAACAGCAACTCCAATACATGACTTTTTTGACTCATCACGACGGAGAATCCTTGTTAGCCGCTGTGGGCGATTGGTCTGACAGTGCAGGAAACGTCATGTCCGATCAGCAATCCGGGCCTCAGAGTGCAGCTAGCACACCATCTTATAGTTCACTGAAGAAGAAGATAAGCCTAAAAGATTACAAAAACAGGAGAAAGTCAGGCGCCCCCTCTGGTTCCCCTGTCAGTCGAGAAGCCCCTTCCCAATCATCGACTGCCCAAACGCTCAATGGAAGCCAATCAACCAACAAAGCTAGTGGTTTCATTGACGAAATACAGGGACCGGCAGAGAGGGCGGCTCCAGGCAACGTGCAATCCTCATCTGGTGACAAGAACATGGATCGCAAACGTCCGCTTGAAACCGATAATGAGCCAATGAAATCAACTGGGAAGGGCCATGTCTCTTTTAAAAAAACCAGATTGTCTACTGATTCTACAGTAGAATACACCAAAGTGGGACGACTGCGGGGCAATGGACTTCCTGCTCTCTTATCACCGACTCTGCCCCCAGTTTCAAGCAGCCCGAGACTGCCTCGACTTCTATCTCCAACACTTCCACCGGATTTGGAGAAAGAGTTGTCGATGCAAAATGTGGATTCTGTCTCCTTAGACTCCTTACAACACCCAGATGTGTCAAATATCGATGCTTCAAATTTGCAAAAAGCCAAAACTGCTTATCGTGGCTCTACCTACATGGACTTGTCACCCATTTCCAGCCGGCAAAACAAAACCTTGAACCCTGGTTCCGTTAGAAGACCGAACGTTCTTCAAGAACCTTCGGACGTTGGTTCATCTAGAACTACGACTACAAAAGTCGGCTCTCAACACCTACCCAAGGAAGCTGTAATGAACTCAGTGGATACACGAACGAGTTACCACTCAAGTCATGCCAGAACAAGGTTCATCGTCAGATTGAGGTATGGCAGAGCGAACAGGAAGCGGGTTGAAGCCCTTCTAAAGTTCTCCGGTAAGCGGAAGATAGGTACATCAAGCTCACCCGTAAAAAATGTTGATATTCCTCACGCTACAACATCTGGACAATCTGTAGCGAAGGCTACAGCATCCGAGCGTGCAGAAAACGGCAACAAGTTATCTCGCAACGATTATAAAGCCAAAAATGACACTGCAAATATGTCTTCGAAAGAATGCACGAAAGAGTCCAAACCCCCTAACATTATCGATCAGCCCCAGTCCCCCAAAATTCCGAGCCCGCATACCAAACAGCTCCTGCAGGATAGGTCAAAACAGATGCAGTCAACGCCGAGCAAAAGTGTGAACTGTTCTGGTCAATATGAAGTGTCTGGAGATACTAGCGAGAGAATGCCCCCCCAGTCCGGTATGAAACATACAGCAGAGTGGCCGACACCTACCAAACCACCATCTCCTCAAACAAGCAGCGCTGCATCTCGGCAATGTGAGCGTCGGGCGTGGAAGGAGGAATACCAGAAATATGGGAACCTTGGCCGAGAACTGAAGCATGCCGCGGAACGCCATACAGCTAAAGATAATTCGACTGTTGTCGATGAAAAACTCGCGGTTGCCACGGCTGTAGAAGCTATAATATGCTTCATCCTGGCTTTTGTCGCAGATGACCACTTCAAGGCTCTAACTCGCCAAGTTGCCGATTCTTCTTCATGGCTGTCCATTCTTGCCTATTGGCGCGTGGTGAAGAAAAATAGTGCACCCTATCCCCGATTGCACAGCCTATGTCTCATGCTTGGGGCTGTCTCGTATGATGCAATCCATGCACTTGATTTAGAAAGGCTTGCAGTTACAGCTGTACCGGAAGAACATACTGCTATTTCTACATCGGGCAGCGACGGGACATCGGTTTCACTGGACGAATATAGAAAAGTCCGAAGAGAATTCAACGAGCTGAAGCATCGACTTCCTGAGTGTTACCGAGAGTCTCAGAAGCTATGGCTGGAGGGCTCACGCGGTCTTTCTGAGAATGTCCTTGCTAGTGAATTTCCTGCCACATGGTCCAATCGGTCAAAGAATTTCTCGGAGCAGGGGAAGCCACTTTCAAAAGCTGGTGACTTATCCAACGAGTACTTTCTTCCGTTGAGAAAAACCAGTACACCTTCGGAGATTATTAAATTCAGTTGCGCAATCCTGAAAGAGTGGTGCACGAAGGAAGGGATTGGGTGGAGGAGTAGACTTGACGTTTAGCTCAGCTGGATTTTGATTGCTCGAATATTCCCTTTGCATTTTCCACCTTGGCTTTTGAGCGCTCTGAGGTGGTCTGCAGGGCACTGCTTGCTGCCAGTTCTTGTTTTATGATACCAACCTACCTTGTCATGTGTCCGAGTTGCGCCTCTTTGCCCTTTTTCAAATCGTGATCTGCTCCCATCAGTTGTGAAGTTGTGACTTTGCTTATCTTGGCATCCCCACATCTAGTGCACGCCTAGAAAGAGAGCTCTTCAGCTCTTATAGAATAATACTACCGTAAGAATTACTGTGACTTGTCCTCTTCGTTGCACCGCTTCCAGCTATGGCTCACTCTTAGCCCTATATTTTGAGACTACTATTGGTACGATACGTGATGTTTAGTATTCTTTTTCACGATAACACAATTTTAAAATCGCAAATCTATGAGGTGAAACCAAGAGAAAAAACTGCTTAGAAGTAGGACAGTATACGGAAATTGGAGATTGCAGAATAATATGACTGTAACAAAATTGCACAGTACGATATAAAAGACATACAAAGCACCCGGTAATCCGGTTTATGAAAATCACTTCTTATCTGCGATCTGATTCGACCGACGTACCACGAGGAAGGACATGTTGGTATCATAAGTACCACATGACCATCGCATATAAATGTTTTTGACGGGACTGTCCTCCACACAGAATGATATGAGGTCAGTGGGTCATAGTTCGCTAGCAACTGTATAGCTGACCGAGGGAGCAGGCTCTTGGCCAAAGAGCCAGCCAGCTTCCCGACAATATCTGGCCTCCCTTCCATAGCTACCAACTTCACTGCTCCAGCAGATGACAGACGCATCGACAATATCAGCAATGACACTCTCGACGGCTCCCAAGATACTCCAGCCAATCACTCCAGCAATCAACCCTATCATGTAGGCATAGAGACTCCCATGAATCACACCATTTTCACTGGGCACGCGGAAGTTCCGCGCAGTACTAACCCAGCCTCCGAAACCAAGTGCTAGTGACATCATAAGGCGAGCAGCATGAAGGATAAGTTTAGATAGCCGGTATGAGACAAGAGGTGCCCAATGTTCGCGAGACCAAGTAAATGACCGTGGATGCAAAGGTGTCATGGCTGTTGACGGCGCCAGATTTGCCATCTGCATCAGACCACGAGCCGAAACAGCAAGTGGCTGAGAATGAATTGCAGCATAAGTGAGGGCCAGAGGATTCGTAATAACGGCCAGTGGAGTCGGAACAAAGGAGTAAGCACAAAGACTAAGAACAGAAGAGATCCGGTTAGGGAGTAGCAGAAGTGGAAGCCGAATTAGCAAGACCAGTAGGCTAGACAAGCAAACCGTGCCAAAGGATGTTGCGAGGCAATGATACGCGGCGGCTTGGATGATCTGTCTGGATGTTGGAGCGGGCGTGGTGAATCTGTGGAAATACCACTGACTAACTGTTGCAGCTGTGATCGTACGTTGAATACCAGAGATGACTCCCAGAGACCACAGGTAGATTAGTACATAATAGGCTCCTAACCACCAACTGCTCGGATCCATAAAAAAAAGCATCGATCCTGAGACATGTCCCGTTAAAAACACGCGTGTGAACATGAGCATCCAACCCCACGTCCACACGACAATGAATAAAAGGACACCCAAGCCAATAATCAGAAGTTCGATGTTTGCGGCAAGGATGCGGCAGGCAAATTCAAGTATGCCCACTGCTCGGCCTATAGCACGACGGCTTCGAATGACGTTATAGATCCAAGCACTTGCTATCACGAAAGGAATAGCTGACCCCCATCTCATGACCTTGTCTTGGATGCTCGATCCATGCCAGGCGCCACGGAAACTCGAGATAAAGGGATAGAGTGAGAAGAAGTACAAAATGGCCGGAACGACGAATATGATGACATAGACTAGGACGCGTACATATGACCGTAGCAATGCGAGCCAAAGCAGAGATATAGATATCGAGACCAGAGTAAAAATTGCCAACATGAAGAACGAGTTGTGAAAAGTCGAGTATACCGTATCGCCCCATTTCGGTAGGTCTGAGGGTGTAGAAGTATGAAGATAAACAAGGAACGAAGTGGCAAAGAGGCAAGCGATGGATATCAAAAATAGCTGGCCCCAGAAAGCGTCATAGACAGGTGAACCGACCCTAACCGATACGATCGACTCTTGGTATGAAGCTGGTGAGCTCGCTCGTTGGAAAAGCACCTGCGCCTCGGCGTTGTCTGGCCCTGGTGGCATAGTGGGTGAACCTATTCCGAGTCTACTCATTCGAGGCCCTGGTTTTTCCCGAAACCGCTGGATCGAGGGCGGGTTGTCGTCGCCTAATTCCGGGGGCGCAACTTCCTCGGAATGGGCGTCCGGTATAAGCGTGTCCTCCAAGCGAACATCAACAAGGTTCTCTCCTCTTTGGAAGCTCATACGTTTCGTTTGTATTTCCTCTCTAGGCTCAGCGGACAGCCCGTTGTTGAAGATTTGTGGATTTGGTGCATTATCGTCAAGACCGCCTTCGCGCCATGAGCTCCAAATGCCCTTGCCCTTGGAGACTGTCCGAGTGTATTGTGGTGGTACTGATGCTTCTGGGCTGGAAAGAGATCTATCATCTTCATCATTTTCCGAAGAGTCCATCAAATGGTTGATGCCAAAATGTCGTCGTGATTTCTGCAAGGCATAGAAATCTGCAATTTCCCGCTCGTGCTCCGTTTCATCATCCTCCTCTCGGAATTCATCTGTGGCACTGTAGAACAAAGGTGCTTGTTGAACCGGATTACGCGAGCCCGGGACGAAATTGGAAAATTGCGAGGCGGCTGTTTGATACGGATCAACAGCCGCTCGCTGTAAAAAAGACCGTGACGAAAGAGATCGTGGATTTCCTGGCGGCTGAATCAAGCGTTCATGGCCTTTTCGGCGGGCATCGTCGGAATGAATCACCAACCGGGACTGCGATTGTGCGAGGAATCGAGAGGCGTCTGAGCATGTTATTAAGATGGGTTCTCCAAGACGTAGCATAAGATACCTTCTAGCATTCAACTGGGAATCATACATTCAGAGAACATCGTCTTCAAAGCCTTTGGCCGACTTTATAACTCTTATCTCTTCTGCTTTTTTGATCGTTCTTGTTGCTTGATGCCGAAAAGTGAGTCAAGTACTGGGTCGTGTATCACGCTCCCTGATAAGAACGGCCGAGGATATAGCGGTGAGCTACTCTGAGTTCTTGATTCGCAAATCACAAGGGACTTGTTGAGAGAGAACTACATAGCAGGTAGAGAAGAACGGAAAGATCTCAAATAGAAGCCTCGTGGTTTTGACTAGAGGTGTATGAGTATCGAAGGAGGGAACAGCCCGCGCCTGAGAGGGTTTGGTGTACCGTGAGGAAGAGGATTGGCCGCTGATGTAGCTTACAACCAGCCAGCGTCATATGGGCAAGGTCATGGTAACAGATGACTCAGCACTCGAGTAACTCAGTTAACAAATTGAGTTAGAAGTAGTAGGCTAGTCAACTCAGACGAGATTAGTTACCTTGTGACTGATCTAGCAGATATGAAGAAGATTTGTCCTGCTTGAATTCAAGCCATCGCCAGAGATACATACCTACCTACATTTTTGACCTCGGAACTGTAGCTTTGAAGTTAGCGTACGAGTGACCGAGCTTCTTGATTTTCAGTTACGTAGCCAGTCCCCACCATAGTAGCCCACTACATTATCACTAGTATTGATAGGCGTTAACCTTTTAGTGTTAGTTCGGATCCGCGATACGTAGATATACGGTGCCTAAGCACGACTAACTACGCCGGTCTAAACAACGCGTTTTCCTCAAAGTTCCAACCCAAGCCGGCCAACGCATCCATCCTAGGCCATCATACGATTTTTGATCCGTGACCGCAAGGGAGGGTTTTCTAAGTGTGCGTCGCAATCTTGGCTGACGACCCCCAAAGAACTAAACCTTTGATGGGCTCCTCCCAACAGCTGGGGCTGGAGTATGACTTCATGAGTCTGATCTGCCGGACATAATAGAACCTCAGAAGCAAGCTCCTCTGCTTGATCGTAGAGCTGCGTCGCTCTGCTATACCCATGTCACAGCCATGGGACTACATCGCTAAGCTTGTCTGTATTGGCGACTCTGGAACGGGGAAATCCAGCGTGAGTTTCATGGACAGTGACCTCAGCTAGGATGTTTCTGACAGACAGTCCCTATCTAGTTAACAATTCGACTTTGTGAAGGTCGCTTCTCATCCTCCCACGATGTCACGATCGGCGTGGAATTTGGTTCACGCATCGTCCCAGTTGGCCCGCCCGCATCAAAAAGTCTTGAACTGAGACTTGACTCCCATGCTCGCAGATCTGCAACATCATCGTCTGTTTCGTCACCTCCTTCCCAGATACCCGTCGCTGCTTCGGGACAAGCTGCTGTCACCGGACTGCCCAGTCCTCCGCGCAAGGTTGTCGAGTGTCAAAAGAGAATGAAACTCTCTCTCTGGGATACGGCTGGTCAAGAAACATACAAGTCCATAACCCGTTCTTACTTCCGCGGTGCTTCTGGTGCACTTCTAGTCTTCGACATCACCAGGCCTTCCACTTTCTTATCTTGTACACAGTGGCTTCAGGATCTACGGCAAATCGCCGAAGACGGGATTGTCATTATTCTGGTTGGAAACAAGAGCGATCTGGCAGATGACGGTTCAGCCTCGAATCAGAGAAGGGTGACCAGGCAGGAAGCCGAAGAGTGGTGCCGCCAGAATAATGTTGCCTATTATGTTGAGACTAGTGCAAAATCTGGCGATAACGTCGAATGTGCGTTTCTCGAGGTAGCTGACATGATCTACCGCAATATTGAAGCCGGTAAATACGACCTACATGATCGCCGCAGCGGGGTCAAGGGCTTTGGCGCTACCGGTGGACCGAATCATGGAGCTCCTAAGACCTTTACCTTGGGACTGAACGATGCGATGCGCACCAGTGGAAATGGTGTGGTTGGTGGTTGTTGTTAATGGTGATACGGGTACCATTTGGACAACCCACCAAGCGGGTCGTGTGAGCTACTTACACAATAAAAGCTTATTCTCAGACCTAACAATTCTAATATTTCCACAAGCTGGAGGGATTCAAGGGTGAAAAGTAACTCAACCACGTATTCTACATGTCTAGCAAATTACCTCCACAAAGAAAAGAGCAGAATGCTCAAGGATGTCTCCAAGAGATCTGAGACGGAAGGAGGCTCCTCCCACGAATGTTAGTTAAATAAGACATGGAGTTGGTTGCCCAAGTAAATGAGCAGGCGCCCGAGTAGACATGTTAAATCAAAGAATGAGGAGCAATGAAGAAGGCCAAGGTCCTAGAAAGAAGGGTCGACGTTTTGGTGTGACAGGAGCAAGATTGAACCTCAATTACCAATTTTCCACCCACTCAACCAGTTTAGATGCTTCCAATTCTGGCTGGGGCCCTCAATACCGAATACCACAACACGGAAGTATAAGAACAATCCGAATATCGCAATATAAAGCACTGTGTATAGTACCACGCGCGATTTATCACTGGCAGTCCGAGTGAACCAATCGACACAGAACCCAAATGTAAGTATGGCGTAATACAGAGCCGGATAGTAATGATGGACATAGGTTACCCTTGCCATAACCACGAAAGGCAAGTAATGCAGGATCCACCCCACAACAGGGTATACACCTGAGTAATGTATATGGTCAATTTCTGCTTGTGTGAGCTCATTGTAACCTCGCTGCCAGCGCACAAGATACCAGAGAACTAGAAGTCCGAAGGCAGCTAGGCCGGCACTACTGCCCCAGTATACGAAAGGGTTTCCAAGAAGATAGTACTTGACAGTATTATCATCCCAGGAACACATGCGGAGACCAACATTCAAGATTGGCCACTGCCAGAACTTTGAGGCGAGATCGTCCTGCTTGTCTGGATCAGGGACCAGGGCGTTGTTGGATGTCATCATGGCGACATTCAAATGAATGAAGTCTTTCCAAAATGGTGATTTGTAAGAACCAGGATCTCCCGGTGGAACTAAAGATAAGAGTGAGTAAACCGAACGCCACAATGGGCAGGTGACAGAAAAGGAGAATAATGCTTACGTTTCTCGTTGTAATGAGACTCCACATTCCAGTGCGTATACACATCGTTGGGCTTGTTCTCCTTGACACAGGTAGTTTCGATCTGCTTGAAGCCCCATTGTGGGAGATTCACATTTCCAGCCCTCAGGTAGCAACCTAAGACAGGGTGCTTCAAGCGGAACGCCGTGGTGAGGGTTCGGACTCTACTCCTGTCCTTGGAAGCGACATCATCAACAACTTCAATTGCCCAATGATCTTTGTCGTCTCCAATGGTAATGTTGCCATAGCAGGATACTTCGTAGTGGCCTTTAGTTACTGGCGCTGGGATCGCATGCGAATGTAAATTTCTGCCTGTTTGCCCATGGATTAAGCGTACCACATCGCCGTCGCCGACAAACCTCAGTGGGCCGTTGGCATCATACCCCATATCCTGGCGGTTGGGGTAGATAAACCAGTCATTGTTCGCGTCCTTATGGTGGTAACATGTGACTTGTTGTTGGGCAGATCCTTCAGGATAAGTTTGAACATGCGAATGCAACAGGCCACCTCCGTAGCCCATGTTTTTCAGGGTAACCCTCGAGCCAAAAGCGACTTCAAGAGGACTGTCCTGCCCAACTTCGGTTCCCTTGAGATTTGCCTGAAAGAGTGAACTCATCTGCGCGTCACCAGGGCCACTGTTTTCCAGAATCCAGAAATGGGCGTAGAACGAGAGGATGTAGACGATACATGGCAAAAGTATCAAGCCTGCAATGCGAACCAATAAGTGGTTCGCTAACACGGCCTGTCATTTGTTTAGCAACGGTCTTGGTCATTGATATATACCATGACGTACCCTTGGCATCTTCACATCGCCGAATTTGTTCCAGAGGTCCTCAACTGTGTACAACCCGACGATCGCTGTGCAAAAAAATCCGACCCATTTGACGCTGCAGACACAGCCAATGCTGACACCGGTGAGAAAAAGCCATGTGAACCATTCGAGGGAGAAACTATTCATCTGCAATCGATGAAACTTCGCCCAGCATAAGGTGGTTGTGAAAGTAAAACATAGTAGCATGGAATCGAGTAAGATGAACCTCGATATTGTCGCATACGAGTTCTCAAATAGGACCATCAAGCTGATAAGCCACACAGTGGCTCGGTGAAAACCGAGCTCGCGAGCGGTAAAGTATGCCAAAGGGACGCAAGCTGCACCAAAGGCAGCATTGAATACACGCATGAAGGTGTAATTGACATCCTGAGGGTATTCTTCTCCGGACTTAAACTCGAAAGAGCCGTTGTAGCCAGCGAGATACCCGGATAGTCCGACCAGCATCTTGCCTAACGGGGGATGGACATCGAAGTAGAATTCGCGCTTCAAATAATGGGACCCAAATTTGCCAAAACTAGACATCAATGAGCAACAGATTAGCCCAGTGGTGTACATACTATCCCAGAACAGTGACATTCTTACTGCGCTTCATCCCATGTGACAATGTTCGAACGTCCGATTCGATACATGCGAGTGAAAATAGACATGGCCGTGAGCAGCAACGGTGCGATGATAGGCTCCCAGTAGGCTATGGCGGAATTCGGTCGAGGCTACACCTCATAGTACGTATGTAAGCCGCAATTCAATACCATCTGTTGACAGTGTATATTTGGCAGACAGGGGATGATGCTCACCTTGTGCTTTACTTCCATCGCAGCATTGTGATTTTGATCTGATGTAACATTGGGCTTCCCCCCACGTGCAGCCGTCCTGCGCCTTAGATCAGGCGCGACATTTGCACCAGTGCTTGAGCCGGTTGTGTCGGCCATAACTCAGGGGAAAGGATAAGAGAGAGTAAGAAAGACGTCTGTTGTAGCTTTTATATCTAGAAGTGAAAAAGACTGAATAGGACAATCTTGAGCTGGCACAACCTGGGACAGTGAACCTAGCGAGACTGAGACTTGATTTCAAATAAAAGGGATCATCTCTCGCAGGCAAACGAGGAGCTTCATATGTCAGTAGAGAAGGATGGAGGAAGATGACTGTTTTAAGGAATGTAAAGGGTTGAGATAGAGGATTTTAAGTGGCAGTGAGATGTAAGTTGAATTCAAAGATGACTTGAATTCAGAAAAATTCGACAACGTCGGTAGGAAGATAACACGAAAAAGAAAGGAATTAGAATTTTGACCAAAGTGAACTGTAGGACCAAGAGAAGATTGCAGGAAATGGCGAGGGGCAGATACAGGCATGGAAAAGGCGCAGCACATTCAGGTGAAAGTGAGAGCTGGCCTGGAGTTAACATGGAAAGCCCGGGCGCATGTTTGAATGGTTTCCGCCCCACTTGGGGGCTAGGTGGTAAGGTAGGTATTTATTTGAGAACAGCAAACCCAGACAACCCGGACCCATGATAAGCACATTTGTTCATTAGTTGTTGACATTGAAGATGCGATTCTACGGTGCATTGAGGAGCCTTGGCTCGCTTGACATATCTTAGTTTTCGTTTATATGGCAACTGCTTCTAGTGAATCATAAGGTTCCGCCAAGTACTACACATAAATGCATAAATGGGTTATATCTCATAAGCACGCTACACCGTCATGCTGCTAGCTTGTATCGGAAACATAACTCGATAAATGTGGTTCGCGCTTCTATCCCAAGGTTTTCAGTATGAGAACATCGGAACGAACACAACTGTAAGACAACGACATCTAACAACGGAAAGAGGCAAAACATTCCCAGCGCAGGTTGCTTCAAAGGCAAACTAGGTCAATATTTCGCGCCGAGAGGTGGAAACACGATCGAGGCAGAGGGGGGCAGCATCGCAGTTTCCTGCAGTGTAAGGGCACGTTAGCAATACAACTGTCCTAGTCATTCTCCTCCTGCCCGAGGCGGCTATATTGGTTGTTTTGTGCCGAAGAACCAGACCCCTTATGACGGGTTATCATGTTGGAGATCCAACCGCCGAATCCCTCCGATCGACTAGCATGGCCCTCTGGATTTACAGACCTAACAGACTTATTATAGGCACTAGGGCTCATATTGGGCGGATCAATGTCCAATCCAGGAATCGCATTATCCGCTCCCAGGGGACCATATTGTCGCCTAATGTCGAGCGAAGGCACAGGTGAGCCGGCACTCATCAAGGAGCCACGTTCCGCCTGGGTTGCTGGAGTCGGCATAGAGGTTGTCGCATCGCCGAACAAAATATTCATATCCTCCAACCGGACACCACTTGTCTCCGGATATAGGAAATACACTAAACGATAAGTGTCAGGTAGGCTGTGACAGTGCGACAAGAAATAACAAAGGTGTACTGACCTAACACAAAGCTGCATGCACAGAAGAAAGCATGGACCAGGTAGAGACGCCACTTAATTGCGGCTTGGAGGACGGGTGTGATTTCCCCCACCAGCCAGTTGAAGGCCCAATTTGCGGCAGTGCTGAGACTGGCGCCCTTTGCACGAATGCTTAAGGGCAAAATTTCGGGGGGGTAGAGCCACGGTATAGGTCCCCAAGATGCGCCAAAGGCAGCATTGTATATCATGACAAAGATGACCGTGAGCGTTGGTGTTGCTGCAACATCTATATAGATGAAATACGAGATCAGAGACAAAGACACAATCATAGCCACTGCCCCTGAGAGAAGAATTGGCCGTCTTCCCCACCGGTCGACAAGATACCACGGAGGAACCGTAGAAGCAAGATAGGATATGGCATTGATGCCGGTCATTAGAATAGCATCACGGCCAGCCCACCCTGCCGATTCAAAAACGAGTGGGGCGTAGTAAGAGATGACGTTAATCCCGTTCAGCTGCGCCAATGCCTGTGCTGACATTGCAATCAATACCCGTCTATAGTAACGTTTGAACATGTCGCTGTAGGATCTCTCGCCCTCTTGTCGTTGAAGAAGAACATTCATCTTGATCTCTCTGTATTCTTGTCTGGCTTTGTCGTTGTGCAGATCACCCTTGCCATATAAATTCGCTATAACGACCATACCTTCCTCGTCAAAATCGTTATCTAGTAACCACCTGATCTGATGTGAGATATGTACCCAGTGGACACATGTGACTGGATATAAACACTTACCTGGGAGATTCGCAGATAATCAGACTCCCCACACCAAGCAAAGCACCCATGATGCATTGACAGAGCAGAGGGAGGCGCCAGGAGTAATTACTATCTATGAAGCTGCAGAAATAGTCAACCCAGACACTTGCAGCGTAACCGGAGATATTCCCCGTGAATTCGATGCATGCTAGCTTTCCGCGGTTATGGGGGGGCTATTTGAGACAGTGTCAGTGTAAACTGTGCAATCACTTGGGTTGGGCTAGTGGTCATAATTACCGAGATCTCAGACTGATAAACCGGCACGATGGTAGAGAGTGCTCCAACCCCTAAACCTGCAATGATACGGCCGACCATCATCATAGGCAGACCAGTCGCAAATGCCTGGAACGCGCCACCAATGAAGAAGACAATTGACCCATAAAGTATCGTTTTGCGACGCCCGATCAGATCGCCAACTCGTCCAACAAGTAGAGATGAAATGAATGCTCCAACTTCTAGAATCGCAACAACAGTGCCAATTGCAGCTCGTGATGGTTGATTGAAGTAATCCTTGAAATACCACCCTCTAAAATTCATCAGCTATCGTCATTTGAATCTGGCATGCCGAGCATGAGACACATACGTTATGATGCCAGACATCACTCCTTGGTCATAGCCGAAGAGAAAGACGCCTAAAGATACGAAGACACTCGTGAAATACCTACATGACGTCAGCTCAGCGCATAGGAATAGTTTATCACTCAATATGAGTTGGCCTTACAGCAATGGTTTGCCAACCAGGCCATGCATCTGGGCATTTTGTCGATTGTTTGGGGACATTATCGTTGCTAAGATACGTTCTGCACGTGAAATCCGCCTGGGTAGTGGCTGAGGTATCTCAATCGATGTCTTCTCGGTTGCGAGACTGGCAATGTATGGCTGGTGTAGTATGCGAATACGCTTTGGCTGTTTGAGTCGCTCCTGGGAGCCAATTGGATTAGATGTATCTAGATCTGATCGTTTTGAAAGATTAATCTGTAGCGGATGCTCTGCATCAGCCGGCTGTTCGGCCAAATCGCCACTGTCGGTCCAGACAAACTCTGAGTTACCCGATGATAGCGAAGAACGCCGCCGACTTTCCCCCTCGGCCGCAGACTGCCCTGCGTCGCCTGACGCAGCAGTGGAAAATCGCGATTTTAGGTGCCGCAAGGGTATGCTCGAAGTAGTATGCCGTTGAGATGTTTGAGAAGGAATGTTGGCGGTGATAGTGGGCTGGACGTGACAGCCCCTTTCCCCGGGAACAATCAGTCCTCTTCTCTGTTTTATGATATAATTGACCGGTTTCCTTGACCACCCCCTATCAAGGATAAGAAAAGAACGGTATCAGGCAGAGCCCACAAACTAGCTGCGCAACAGTCGTGTTTCGCTTATTGGAAAAAAGGGTTTAAAAGGTGATGCCTGGAGTAGGGCACAACGGTCAACTCGCAGGTGGAAGTCAAAGTAACAAAGGCACTGCACTGGGACTGAAGGGGCACGCCAGAGCGAGGGTCCTTCAAGTTGGGCGAAAGTGTGTAGGAAAAGACGAGTGCATGGGAAAGCACTGTGGGCGGAGAGCGGTGATGCACTGACTGACATTGGTCATAAGGCCGCTCACGAGACAGTTGCCAACTTGGTTGATCGACGCAGGATGACGGAGTCCGGAGCCTGACAGCCGAGAATGGTAAGGTGGAGATAGCAGGGATGATGGCACCAAAAATTCAGAGGGGGTAAATTAAACACGAGAGTCAGTAAATAAGGACCATACTAGACTCACTGAGCGCCTTGAGTATCAGTATACCATAGTAATCTCAAGGCTACTATGGTAGAAATTCAACTGCTGGTATGTGTACAGTATGTATGTACTTATTGTCTTTGAAAGGTGGAGGGAACCCCGCAAGACAGTCCGCCAGACATAGACAAGTCGGTAGATGCGGCTAGTCTAGGCCCGACGTCTACCCGTTAGATGTGGATGATGTATGTATCTACTCCATACCACTAAAAAGTCATCGCGGTACCACTCCTTTGCCTAAAGTACTCAGTACTCAAAACCTCTACACGAGGAGGAAGGGAGGGAATGGTCATGGATTCTTCAATCGTTTCTTCGATTATTTTTTGAGCTAACTAAAGAGACATGCAAATACTAAGAGGAATGATGGGGTGAAGGAAAGAAGTCCTTAGTAAGCGAAACTGGCCACCATTGGCTGGGCTCAGTACTCATCGTATGCATATTTCTGTCACAAGTTAGCCTCCACCGACAACGCACTACGTAGATACTCATCGATGCAAGCACCTCGCCCCTAATCAGCGTTGGTCACCTCTATCCTGTAAACAAACATACCTTAATTATAATAGATAATAGAAAACCCGAATTCTGCCTCCTCTCAGTAAATATCAGGCATTAGGATTCTAACACTAGTTTTCTGTCCTAGTCCTAGATTCATCTATTATATTACAGCATGTAGCTTGATGGGATCCTACATTTTTAGGTGATTCAAGTTATGCACTATGAAAAAGAGCTTCAGTCAAGAAAGACTTACTTTTTCAGTTACTCTGTGGTAGGAAGATAGCTCAGCATTTATGTTGCCGGTTAATTTCCTTTTTTATAAATCTTAAAATTGCTCTTAATTCCACTTATGATCGATCGACTGCCCAGCTACTTACATATCTGCAAAGGGCCGGGTGATATGGCAGAACACTGCCGACGAAGCTGGGTGGCAGAAAGTCACAGGATCGCCGGTAGTAGCAATAATAAGTTGAAGTAATTATTCACTACAGAGTATTACTGAGTATAATAATACTCTGGACCCACGTTGAATAATAAACTTTTAAACTATGTAGAACCCAATAACAGTTTATCTAATACCATTTCCATATAGTGTCTATGAAATTGTCGGTGGAGTCCTGATTAAGTAATTCCAGATCTGCCGGTTTCATTCCAGCTTGCAAATACCATTTGCCGAAGCTGAGGGCTTCATGACTTTCATATAACGGAAGTGGCAGAGCTATAAGTATGAGAGCAGTCAAGAGGATTGGTGGCAAAGATCCACTTACGATCCGAAAGACCTCAACTACATATTATCTTAATATGTACATGTAAAAAGATTATTGACATATAAGTTTGAAATAAACAATAAAGAATGGATACAGTACGAAGTACTGTACGATAAATCTTGTCTTCATATCATATTCATTACATTTATTTGGTTATATCGTATGAGAAGCCTCTATCTTCATGTTCAGATAACCCTTTTCTACATACAGGTATTTTCGAACCAGTCAAGAAACTTCCGGGGCTATTTCCACCGCCTAGTATTTTGTAGTAGCTGGCAATTCCCAACATAGCGCGTACCTCGATGGTCTGAACTTATGCGTAGCCGAGCAGGCCGCCGCGCGAGAAATGCTCCAGAATAGGAATGAGGACGGAGGGAAGTCGGAGATTCCATCTCGACCAAGATAATCAGAATATCGGTAAGAATGGCGATCCTATTCATGCCAGGAAGAAGAAGATAATGCATTTTATACCTAGCCGAGTCGAAAACCATAGTTTCTCATGGCAGTAGAATACTATATCCATCTCTCTCAATATATACAGTATCCGACATATACGCATATTTACGACGGACCAACTCAAAAATCACAAGCCCAGCACTTGTGCTGGGCACTTGACGTATGGCGTCTCTGGCAAATCCACGAAAGAGCCACTTCCTCCAACCTCCAACCCTAGTCGCCTTTCGCTTGCATCTTTTCAATGTCTCCTGATAGGCATTATAGTAAAGACGTAGCATTTGTCGCCTCGAGGGACAGAAACTGGCTTGATGGTCAAGATATTCCAAGCGAGTGACATGGATGCTTTGGATGACCGACAGCGGTCGTTGTATGGCTTGTTGGGCCACTGAAGCTATCACACCCGCGGCCATGAGAAAACATGGCTCCAATGCATAATGGGGTCTAATGAGAGGGACACTGCGATTTCCAGACTGGACAGTGTGCACTCTCTGCGCACCAAAAGTATGCAACGACCCATAGTACCACGTGACAAATGAGTAGTACGCCTGAGATTTTATGAATTCGAATGATGAGAAGAAAAATGCATAGCCAAGAGAATCACGCAGGAAAGAAAGGCCCCAACCTGCGAAGATACCCCGGGCTCCAATCTGAATAAGCTTTTGACGGCCATAATGCCACATACTCCGGTACTGCCCCTCAAGAAGATCGCTTGTTCTTAGACGGACTTGGAGAGCATCAAGAGGAGCGGCTACTATAGACTGAATAGTTCCGGCTATGAATCCGGCTGCGAACGTGTTTGAAGGCGGAGGAGGGGGGTATATACGTTTGATGCCTTGCGACACAGGTTCGTTAAGACTTCCAAGAACTTGAAGGTATGATGTGTAAAGTATGGCACCAACTCTGCGGCAGTTAGAGGATACGCACATGGAAATGGTACAATGATTGGGAGAGCTCACGCGGCATTCGCTAACAAAGGGGGCATAACTTGATTGGGAATGAAGCGCCAACCATACGTACGAACGGCGTGCATCAAGAGCCCAGGTGTGGTCGTATGCAAGGACCAGCCAGACTTCGCTGAGTGAGGGTTAACAGCCCTGGCAAATGCCTTTGCAGATTTAGAGTAGAACCGAGAAAATCAGCGATGATTTAGAGATAACAGGGACGAGGAAGACCGGGCTACACACCATATAGCTGCAAATGCAAGGCTTGTTAATATCCAACAGAAATGATTTGAGTGGGCAACTTGAATTCATACTCAACTCGGGTACGAAAAAAGGCCTTTATAGGTGACCTGAAATAAAAGGCAACAATTTGCGCACTCAGAGCACGAGTACCAGCAGCAGATGCACCAGTTGCAGCATTGTGTCGAGATTTCCTTCGAGAGGTTGAGTCCGATTGAATCAGGTCGTCAATGCTCGCTTGATCTGTATGCGCAGATGATAGATCATCTGTCATCTTGAAAACTCAGAAGAAGATCTCGCAAGGCCAGGCTTCGGACTTTGGCAAAAGAGCACTAGCGGCTAAGACGAAAGCATGGCAAATTGATACTCGGGTTTCTAAGGAACGACTCAGTCATATGTGCATTGTGTATGACGAGTAGGAGTGTGACAAGTTGGTGAGAATATTACAACTTTGTGAAATCGGGTAGTATCTAGGATGAAGAATGAAGAGGGACCTGACAAAGTAGTACTGAAAAAGCCGATGGGAATATCGGCGAGGCTGAGGTCAACACAAATGATGTATTCCTGAAAAGTATACATATACCAGGCGGTACACGAAAGTGGAAACCAAACAGCTCAAACATGTCTTACTAATTTCTTACTTAGCCTTTTGAAAACGCGCTTCGTCTCGCGTTAAGATTGCGCCTGGCTTCCTCCGCGACTGTTAATTAAATGCTCAGTTGCGATTTTACACACTTCTCATTCCAATAAATTCTTCGCAACACCGGCAGCTTCAGATCTCGTCCCAGTGTAGTCTGTAGCTTCTCCTCCTGCAGCCTATCACTTCGACTATTCCCTTTCCAGTTCCCACCTCTGAACGTTTATTCTAGTTTTGCCCGGGAGTTCTTGGTACAGGACTGCGTGCTGCTACGTACGGCGAACCTCTTAAGCGTTTAGCCCGCGCCACTGAAAACCCTACACCATGGCAGAAGAAATTGTGATTGATCGGAATACATTCTTTAACCGACTCACGAGCTTTTATTCAGCATGGAAAGCAGACAGACGCTCCAACAATGCCACTTTTGGCGGCGTTTCATCTATTGTTATTCTCATGGGGAAGACAGACGAGGCTAACAGTTTTCAAAAAAGCAATGCGATGCATGTGAGTCGTTGCTGAGGTGATGAATGGTCTGGCAACATACTAATGACAAATGACTAGTTTTGGCTACTTGGCTATGAATTTCCTGCTACTCTTCTGGTATTCACCACTGAGGCTGTATATGTTGTTACGACGGCTAAGAAAGGTAAGTTTTTCGGTCTTTTGATTCATCAAACGTTCCTGTGCCCGGCACTTCGATATACCTTTGGCTGAGGAAACTTCCAATTCACAGCCAAACATCTTGAGCCATTGAGAGGAGGCAAAGTCCCAGTAGAGATCTTGGTGACCTCGAAGAATCCAGAAGAGAAAACGAAATCATTCGAGAAGTGCATAGAGGCCATTAAGACAGCTGGTGTAAGTTATGTCACAACTATAAAGATGAACATCAGGTGCTAAGGTACAATGTGCTGTTATAGAAAAAGGTTGGTGTCTTGCCAAAGGATATAGCTTCGGGCCCCTTTTCCGAGGATTGGAGGAGGGCGTACGCAGCCGGTGGTGGGGAATTGGAAGAAGTTGACATATCGGGCGCCCTGTCAGCTGCACTTGCAGTCAAGGATACAGATGAACTAGTCAGTTCCTCCAAGCTGCGTCGTGTCAGCTAGAAACGCAATTGTTAACTGTGCTGAAGGTATCCATCCGAAACGCGTCAAGAGCCTGTAGTGGCTTGATGGCCGATTACTTTGTGGACGAAATGTCTCGTCTTCTTGATGAAGAGAAGCAAATGACCCACAAGGCTCTCGCCATGAAGATTGACGCGAAGATTGACGACGCTAAATTTTTCAACAAATTAGCGAAACTTCCAAGTGAATTCGATCCCCAGCAAATTGACTGGGCGTACGGCCCCGTTGTACAAAGTGGAGGGAAATATGACCTTAGGCTCACAGCTTCTTCCGACAATAACAATCTTCAACCAGGGATCATTGTTGCAGGATTTGGAATTCGCTACAGGACTTACAGTTCGCTCATTGCGCGTACATACCTTGTTGATCCAAGCAAATCGCAGGAGGCAAACTATGCTTTCCTTCTACATGTTCGCGATGCAGTCATCAAAGACATTCGTGAGGGTGCAGTGGCCAAAGACTTGTATCACAAAGCGATCAGTTTGGTTCGGGCTAAGAAGCCAGAGCTTGAGACGCACTTCGTTAAATCGGTTGGCGCAGGTGTAGGAATTGAACTCCGCGATTCTAACATGCTGCTAAACGGGAAGAATGACAAGATATTGAAGAGTGGCATGACATTTTCAGTCACGTTCGGGCTGACTGATGTTGAGGACTCCAGTGCAAAAGATCGGGGTAGCTCCGTTTATTCAATGGTCATCACTGATACAGTCCGTGTCGGCGAAAATGGGCCACTTGTTTTTACGAAAGATGCTGGTGTGGACATGGACTCGGTTTCCTTCTATTTTGGGGATGAAGAAGAATCTGAAAAGCCCGTCAAGGAGAAAAAGGAGGTCAAGTCGAGCGCCATTGCCAGCAGGAATGTCACCCGAACAAAGTTGCGTGCCGAGAGGCCAACCCAAATCAATGAAGGCGCGGAGGCCCGGCGTCGTGAGCATCAAAAGGAACTGGCCACCAAGAAAACAAAAGAAGGGCTGGACAGGTTCGCAGGTACCACAGGGGATGACAATGGGGTCACACACAAAAAGTTCAAGAGATTTGAGTCTTACAAAAGGGATAATCAGTTGCCCACAAAAGTGAAAGACCTCACTATCTATGTCGACCACAAGGCTTCCACGGTCATCGTCCCTATCATGGGCCGACCAGTCCCATTTCATATCAATACAATTAAGAATGCCAGCAAGAGTGACGAGGGGGAATATGCCTACCTGAGAATCAACTTTCTATCACCAGGCCAAGGTGTCGGTAGAAAAGATGATCAGCCCTTCGAAGATCTCTCAGCGCATTTTCTACGGAACTTGACTCTGAGGTCCAAAGACAATAATCGACTCGCCCAGGTGGCTCAAGATATCACAGAGCTTCGAAAAAATGCACTGCGACGTGAGCAGGAAAAGAAGGAAATGGAGGATGTGGTTGAGCAGGACAAATTGATCGAAATCAGGAGTAAGTGAATCAGAGATCATTGCCTGTGCGAGGATTCAGGATAACCATTTTAGACCGTCGTCCTGTCAAATTACCTGACGTTTATCTGCGGCCACCTTTGGACGGGAAGCGAGTCCCTGGTGAGGTCGAAATACATCAGAACGGCCTTCGCTATATGTCGCCCTTTCGCAATGAACACGTCGATGTGCTTTTCAGCAATGTGAAGCATCTTTTTTTCCAACCATGCGCTCATGAGTTGATCGTCTTGATACACGTTCATCTGAAGACCCCTATACTGATAGGGAAAAGAAAAACTAGGGATATTCAATTCTACAGAGAAGCTACTGAGATGCAGTTCGATGAGACTGGAAACCGCAGACGTAAACACCGTTATGGGGACGAAGAGGAATTCGAGGCTGAACAAGAAGAACGGCGACGAAGGGCAGCGTTGGACCGCGAGTTCAAGGCGTTTGCTGAAAAGATCGCGGATGCTGGCAAAGACGAAGGAGTCGACGTTGACATTCCATTCAGAGAAATTGGCTTTACTGGCGTTCCCAACCGGTCAAATGTCTTGATTCAGCCTACTACAGACGCTCTGGTCCAACTAACTGAGCCCCCGTTCTTGGTCATCACTCTTAACGAAGTTGAAATTGCTCACCTGGAAAGAGTACAGGTAAGTTACAGACTCTTCACTGGTCTTGTCAATTCTAACGTTCCTACAGTTCGGACTCAAAAATTTTGACCTTGTGTTTGTTTTCAAGGACTTCCATCGAGCGCCCGTGCACATCAACACGATTCCCGTGGAGTCGTTGGAGGGTGTAAAAGATTGGTTGGATTCTGTCGACCTCGCTTTCACAGAAGGCCCACTGAATTTAAACTGGACTACTATCATGAAGACAGTAGTGAGTGATCCCTACGGATTCTTTGCTGATGGAGGTTGGTCGTTCTTAGCAGCAGAATCCGACTCTGAGGGCGGATCGGACGAGGATGAGGAGTCCGCGTTTGAGCTTTCCGAATCCGAGCTTGCGGCTGCGGACGAGAGCTCGGAAGACGACAGCGAATTTGATGATGATGCTAGTGCTGAAGCAAGCGATGACTTCAGTGCAGATGAAGAGAGCGGTGAGGATTGGGACGAGCTCGAATTGAAGGCGAAGAAGAAGGATAGGGAAGGCGGTCTGGACGATGATGAGCGGGGCAAGAAACGAAAGCGATAGTTGAGTTGTAATGTTTGGGCTGTGGCATGGCGACTACTACTCCCACTGTCACTACTATTATTACTACTGTGCTCACAACCTGATTTGCTACCACCTTGATGCGGTCACATATGGATTCTCCATACCTATTAAGCGATATGACATTTACCGCCATCTCCAGGGTCCGCTTGGCACGCGTGAATGAGATCAAGTAATATAGCAGCTGGCGTTGCTAAAATGATACGTGTATAGGAGGTGCTTTGAACAGACTATATGCAAGAATCCTCGACGTATCTCTACTCCTTCACTTCCCTGCCCTCATGGAAAACCACATGTTCCTCATTCTCTCAATCTGATCTGGTGTAAAGTTCTCGTAGCAATCATCAGATGAGTAGTCCATAAAATTGTGGATTGCATCCAGACCAGGGAGGTCCGGACATGAATCTTTCTGAGCCGGACAACCATTAGTAGGTTCAGATTGTTGCGGGGTGTCGTCTATATAGTCGCCTTCGTTATTAGATGAGCAAGTGTCTCCTTCAAATGTATGGAGAAGTCCGTTCCAGTGCCCAATCTCGTGGACGGCCGTTCCTCCTTGGTTGTAATGCGCTAAGGAACCTCCCGGCATAGTCTGGGCCAGGACATTACAGCCGTCCTTTATATAGGTGGAACGTGGGCTACTGGCATTTATGCTTGGGTCAGGCAGAGTGCAAAAGCCGAGTACGCTGGACGATAGAGTGCCCATCTGTCGCGCAGTGATGCCGCGCAATGCTCGAGCACTTCCATCCGGTGACATCTGGAGATCTGTCTGGAAATAAACATTGAGAGTGCTGTAACTCCCACGGCGTAAAGCACTCTTCATGGCAATTTCATCCTGGTTGTGCGCCCATGTATCATTCACATGACGAGTTATGCCTTTGAGCCGATAAGATATGGTGGCATTATCATATGCCTCTTGTAGATAGATCAACTAAACTCGAGTTAACTCTGTAAAGGAGCAAGAACCTAGATGACAGGACAAAACAAACCTGGGAGGCTATCATCTGGTCCGAAACCGAATTGGCCGCAGCCTGGCTGCTCACGATGTGAAACCATGTTTCAATTTGAATTGTGCTTTCGGCCTCTCGGGTCTCATAGACCAAACTCGAGTTGGTTCGTGGTTTTGACATGCTCAGCCTCCTAAACTCTGCTTTCAGTCGTTCGCTGGGCGCAGGCGTGGCACAGAAACCGCGGTCTAAAGACGACGCGCTGCACAAGACCTGCATACCCATGATGATGAGCACCGACAAAGGGCATATGAAATCCATCAAAGCCATACTGGTTTCTTGAGTAAGATAATAGTTACCTTTGAAGGAATACCCGAGTGGAAAGGAAGAAAACAGAAGCTGCTACCAACAGCTAGCTACGTGGAATGTATCGTTAGCATCTTGGTCACAGGAATCCTAGGTGCTCGAGAATGCCGCAGCTAGGGGTAGATGCCCAGATGCGGAGAACAGAAGCGGCCTTTCCAGGGACGCGTCTGATAAGAACAGCAACTGATTTGGGTGGCTTTAATCAATTTGGTATAGACAAATATGAGGACATGAGCCAGGCAACTCCGTAAACACAGGCCTCGGGGACATCAGAATCCGTTTAAAAAGACGCAATTACCTTGTAACGAAAAGACGGCCTTGAAAACAGAAGGAAAAGAGACATTACATTCCTATGAAAGAAACGACGAAACAAACACCAGAACTCCCTATGGAGCGTGGGATTAAAATCTGCCATCCCTTCCAGTTGAGGTAGCAGGGCTATCATGGTCGTTGTTCCAGGTCAAATAAGTGTGATCACCGAGTTTTCTGGGTAAACAGCAAATTAGCGAGGTGGTTTTCGAGCTGCAGAATAGCCCATTGAGGGCTTTCGTGCGTACCTGGGTCGTACTAGGTGAGCAATGGTGAAGAGCGCGCCGAGCACAATGCAGACACCCCCGACGACTACATACGCGATCCCCATAAAGGGATTTTGGCCACCAATAACAGTCCGAGTGGATATTAGTATCGACTTCGTACCACCGTACTCAGTGACGGGAAAGCCTATGCCATTAGCGACGTTGGTAGTTGCTGGGGGTTTCAAACGTACGGTCCTCAATATCGAGCTGGTAACTCCCCGCAGCCATGGCCGTGGTGTCGTTTCGCCGTGACAGTTTGCTAAAAGCCGGCAATGCTGCGGTTCTCATCCATACCATGAACTCTTCATCCTCGTGAAGATTGGGGATTCCGTCAACATATCCATTGGGATAGCGATCATGCCAATTAGGCGGAGGAACCACCTGCCATTTATTGTACTGCGTCTTTTTGATCAGCTGCTTGTCGCTGTCCCACGCTATGCCTTTGTTCGTCATGTAATATGTCTGGGCATTGTCGCCGTTCAGGAGCTCGGGACTGCTAATTGTGTCATTGAATAGCGAATTTGCAATGAGACCACATGGATAATACGCTTTCCCAGAAGGGTCAAGCTTGAGTGGATCGCAAGATCCTCCACTGATAGTTTTGTTGTCAACAGCCTTTCCTTTCAGCTGATCAATATCAAGTGACTTGACGTATCTGCGATGATTCTGGTAGAAATTGGTTAGGCGATAGTACATGAATACGGGCGGTTCTAGTTTATCAGGAATTTCGAAAATCAAGCGACAGACGGTTGTCCCATTCTTGTTCAGGCTCTGCCAAGTCGGTGTTGATTGTTCATTGCTCGATTTGAATGAGGTTTTCACTCTATCTGAAATTGAGGTTGGTTGGGAGGATGCCTTGGTGGCGCATTCTGAGTAGTCTATGACTATCTCCTGAACCTGAGGGCTTTTAGCTTCCGAGAAGTAACAGTTGTTGGAGAAAACACATACCTGCGAGCTGGCCCATAGGAGAAGACCACCGATCGGGGCAAAAATCACGCCGATGACGAAAAAGAGAGGCAACACGCTCTTGGGGGTCAGAATTGGCCTGCATGTGTCAGCTTTCATAACTGACTGGGTTTCCATCGGGCTTGGTTCCTCACTGCCAGGCTTTCAAACGCTGTTGCCGGAAGGCGGTATCTGTTCATCTGTATCAGACTTAAATCATGCTAGGCCACGGGAGATGCTGTCCTCACTTGCAGGTCTTCTAGTCTTGGACTTCTTGTCATCGCCAAGCTCCCCATGCTCTTCATTGTTATACTCCGTACGAGTGGCTTCTGCGTGAGACATTCCTAGTGAGATCAAGACCATACGACGCCGGGCCTAAGACGCGGAGTTGATAAGGGATGCGTTCCAATTCAAGTATTCGTTGTGGCAGGAGTTGCACGATGTTCATAGGTGGATCGGGTGGCGTGGAATTGAGGATCCGGAAGTCGGAAACTGCATAGTTGGCGGGTAAAGCTTCCCAGTTCCCATCGTCGGGTAACTGCCGTACTGCCGCAGCCTTTGTGCATGGCCCGACTGGTCCTGAAACTAGTCTTCTTGTAGATAATACTCTTTGCCTGATATGTCAGAAATACACAATGGTATATGGTTTTTACTCTATGCATGGGTCATGGTTTGTAGGCAAATTGAGTCTAGGCACGATGCAGACAATGTACTAGCAAGATAATGTAAATTCTTGATTCTGGGTTCAAAGCAAAGGCAGGTATGCGCCCTAAATAAACATGGCCAACGCTGCGCCGAAGGTTTAAGTAGATCGTGGTACAGAAACTTTGTTGTAGCAACATGACCGAAGTCCACATAAACTATTGCAGAAATTGAATGGGGGGAACCTGAAGCAATCGGGGTATTAATTATAAACCGCCAATGGTTAATAAGATAAATAGAACACCGGTATGATCGCTGGTTGGCGAGAGAAGTGCTATGCGATTACTGGTAGTCTGCCATGTTTAAGTGCAAACTTAAGCAATATTCCACAATCATTGTTAGTGAGTGATGAAGTTAACAAGCGCGTGAACAATTGTGATATAACATGATGCACTGCCAAACATCGAATGCCGAATTGCTTATTACCAGGAGGAAAGACAGTAGTGAGACGTCTTCGGAATGAGAGATAACCTGAGATTCCAAGCCCTATTATTTTCGATACTGTTGAAAATGTTCTGGGTTGAACCAGCCCACACGTTCGTAAGCAGTCCAGAGTTTGCTTGCCTTGTTCACGTCGATTTTGCAGGCCTGTTGGGCGTCTGTCTTTCGAAACTCCTTACCAACATTCAAGGCCTTGACTCTGGCTTCGAAAATCCGCCGCTTGCTGCACAAATATGTTGCGCATGAGAGCCTCAAGGTTGCTGCAAGGCTAAGCTCTGCTGAACTGAGTAGATTTCTGTCAGGGTCGAGACTGAGGTCTAACACCTGCCCTTTCCAGTCTGCTTTCAGCGCCTTTGCATTGCCACCAAGAGTCACTATCGAAGGAGAAAAATCTTGGATGGAGCTATAGTCGACATCGTCCCGATTAGTTCCTATAGTGCGAGCTTGCTTCGCGCTCGATGGCGGGAGGTCAAAACTCTCCAGAGTTTTCTGCTTTGGTGTAGACTTCGGTGTTCGCTTTACTCTAGAAGCCCGTTGAACACGAGGCTGTGCAGCCGCCACCCTTTTCCCTGGTGCTGGTGCTAGTTTCTTCAACTTGGACTCGATTGGCCGTGGTCGACATCGATTCATCAGTAATAACTGACGCTCTAATGTCTCTCGCTCCTCTTTGGCCCATGCTGCTGGGTTGCGATTAAACTGCGAGGATACAATCGGTACGCATGAAAGAGCTAGAAGATACTCGTCGCGCGTCGGCTTATTTAGTTTGTTCTCAAACCTTGCCATGTGAGAATTGATATGTTGATTGACCAAAGCTTCCGCGGTATTGGGAAGCATGGGCCCAAACAAAGGTTCATCAGTGGCAATGTCATTTATAGATTCATGTCGGGGGAATAGAAGAGGATCTCTGGGAGTGCCAACAGCATCTCTGTCAATTTGTTCGGAGACATATGATTTCCTCTTTTTAGTTCCAGCATAGGGCGTAATAGGAGGGGATGGCAAGTCCATTTCTGATTGAGTACGCTTTCGGTTGCCTGGGATAGGAGGAAGTTCCATACTATGACTATATGCTGGATCCTGCGGCAGTGTGAAACTGGACATCGTAGTCGGATTGAACACCTCCAGGGGTTTCGACTCTGGAGGTGACATCAAACTGGAAACGGATGGGAGACGGCTCATTTTGGCCTTATCACTTGGTTTTAGCGACGAGGCAGTGGTGAGTGAGGTCATCACGGAGAAAGATTCCCAAGCTCGGGACACAGGCACGGGCAAGGATGAGTCAAAGTTTATGGTTAGAGAATCTTTGTGAAAGCAAAGGTCACTGCTTTTAAGGTCAGCCCTGGGTAAATGCAATCTTCGAGTACAAGGCGGAAAGGTGCTATGAATATTGATAGGGTGTTAAAATGGAAGTCAATGGAATTGGGACCTGATCAATGCTGGCAAAACACACGTGCTATTGATTTGTCAGGGCGCCCTCTTTGTCTGGTGGCAATAAGCAGGTATGACCTGGGTCTCGGCGATAAGGCTCACAATGGCCGAGACGAACAAATTCTAGGTATCAGGCGAGGACAGATATTTTTCTGCTGTTGCCTTGCGCTATGGAAAGGGAAAAGGGTTCGCAAAGAAGGCTCACGAGATCTTGAAACCGGCGGAATTGACCTTTCTTACTTCCTATGGACCCCTTTTCCATTGGGAAAAACAGGCTAAGGTAAGTATGAGTCAATGCGCCGATGGCTGGGGGCTGAGGAACTAATAGAAGCGAATTCAGCAGCGCTCATGGGATTGCGGGGTTGGCGCGTGGCGGCACCGAGAGGCAAATGTTTTATGTAGAGCCAGTACCTTGGTCTTTGATAGCCAGGAAGCTGATTGTGTGGAGGCTGTGAACCTGATGACCTGCAGAAGTCAGGAGCAGAAATTACTTATCACCGATATGTTATGTGTCACTACACTCGCACGTTAGCAACAGAAACGATGATGCTATGGGGCATACCATATGATGGGGCGGGTCGTTCAATGATCTGCCACATGACGACAACCACCTTGGAAAAGCGGGGTCATCATTGCTGGTCATATGTACTCTTAGTACTGTACCTTGTAATTTTAGAAAATGTGGGTGCGCCTAAAGCTTTCACTCCAACTCAATGCTTTTTCAAATTTGGCCACTTCCAGTGAGGGGCATTGAACCCACTTGGCGGTGTGTGTGGTACCCGACAAGTATACAATCTGAGCTGATTGGCGTAACCGCCGGGCTAAAGGTTTACTACTTATAAGGGGTTTAAAATATGTACAGAGTACGAGTAGGCAGTTGTTGGGTGTACGGACCCATAATTGATCACTAGAAGTTATTACTCTACTACTCATAGTACTCGTGCTATGAGTACCTAGTATGTACCCAGTAAATAAGACGAAGGCTGTTAATCACGGGTACTCTCATCGATATGGAAACCACGTGAGTAGATATATTGCAACAAAATACAGTATATTTTACCCGTATGGCTAAATAGCATGTTAAAGCATGCCCTTCCAGCTCGAGAGTGAATGTATATGGTCACAGGCAATTATTGAGCATGATCGCCTCTGGGACCAGGATAAAGACGAGCTAGAAAGGTCTAGGTCATGCATTCATGGTGTAGCTATAGGTTCTGGATATCATTTGACTACATACACGCGATGGTTAAATATATTTGATCTACGAGGTATAATGCTACATGTATGTCGATAGTTGACAGGTAAAAATGTCGCTTATAATATTCGTCTAGGCATTTGTGGACGGCTGACTTGCTAATCACCAAGCATAATCGCAGCCTGTGAATGTTAGGCAGTTTTAAGGAGTATTAGTGCTCTGTGCTCTGCAATCTTAGTCGGTAATTGATACTGTGAAATTGCCAGCTTCGACAATAACTGCGGCCAACAGGGTGGAAGATAACCGTCAAGATTTGGGTAATGTCTCTGCTTTCTTCATTTTCACAATCTCGTCAATTAGTTGGACATTAAGTAATGCCTGTCGGGCTGCATCGTCCCCCGCGATAGCTTTGTTGGTACCCTGGCCGGAACCGAGATGTTTGTTGTACCAGCCCCATCCCGTAAGATATACTCCAACGTAGAAGAGCTGTGTCCCCTTTCCTTGCTGCGAGGGAGCGCGTTCATCAGCGTAGTGAAGCTTGACGCCCTTTCCCATGATCCTCTTAGCAAGCGCTTCCTTGGCATGCAAAGCAGACCTTTGGTCGCCAAGTCGGTCAAGCATCGGCAACCACAGCTGTGTCAACCATTCTTCAGCTACACCATAGCCGTCGGCTGGACTAGATAATACAAGACCCGCGACATATGCTTCAAAAATGTCCGCCTTTGTTTTTGTCCACCTTCTTGGCTGATCCGCGTAGTGAGACGGCACAGAGGCTTTGGTGTCAAATCCATACCTTGTTGCAAACTCGGCTAGCGTATCGTTTCTTACAAGTGTCTCACGGATCTGCGATATGCGACCAGAGGATATATCCGGAAACCTGTCCCAAATAAGTCTCGTGGATATGACTTCGATGTACGCATCGCCTAGGACTTCAAGGCGATCGTATGTGGCGCTGATGTCATTCTTCATGCCTGGGTGCGTGAAAACTGCATTTCGAATGGCGCTATCCGAGATCCGAGGTAGATCCGGGAGCTGGGAGTTATGCTTGGTTGCGATGATTTGGGAATTCTGATCCTGTGAATTGTTGGATGAAGGAACAAGGACTTCTGCGTGACATAGGGCAGCATCGAGCTCTGTCAGAAGCCTCATGATATTCGAAGCTGCCTGACTATTCGTGATCATTGGAAGGCTGCGGTTATCAAGAGCGTCGCGAACCACAGTCCTCAGGTTAGAGAATGCTTTATCTTGCTGCCCATGCAAGACGGGTGGATGTTGGGCGCGTTCAGATGCATTGTGCTACCTAATGTCAGAATTCGAAACCCACAAGTCCATTGTTTAGAGCTTCAAGTTACCTTTATCTTTTTGTCCTTGCCAGTTGATGCTAGGGAAAAGACAGACTTCCTTTTCGAAGGCATGTTAGGGGTTTTGTGTACAAGCCACATATTGTGACTGCATAGATCATTTCGGGTTTGAAAAAATACCCGGTCACGTGGCGTGGCTTCAAAAGTAGATACGGGGTAGAGTCTTAGGCGCAGTTTGTAACCCCATCTCAGTGGCTATTGCTCGATTGCCCAGATATGGCGACTCAATACAGCCGAGTATTAGAGCTGGCAAAGGTACGATGATGCAGAAAAGATATTCATTGTGCCAAAGATATCTGCTTTATTCCTCCCCCCATCATACTTGTTGTGGATTTCGACTCATCTCTTGGCAGGTCCAGTGCCGGATATTCTCACTAAACTTCAACCCGGAGAAGCTACGCCTGGGAAACAAGATTCTACGTCAAAGACTACGCGGTCCGAGCCTTTCGGCATGGTATCCCAAGAAAACGGTCTCTTTCCGAGATTTGCAAGCCACGTACAAGCCCTTGGGCTTAACAATGTTTGATGAAGGGGAAGATGATCGGGAAGAAGCCATCCAGATGTATGTTCCTTGACAATCCTCTGGAGCCATTCTTACTGGTGTCAACAGTGCCAAGTTGCGAGGGAAAGGCAGACCAAAGAAAAAGAGAACCGCCGCAGGTAAGTCCTAGCAACTCGATGGCTTCAATATGCGAGAGACACGACCTCATTCAAAACCATAGAATCGCGGTCCGCCAAGAAGAAGAAATAGACCACCATTAGCACATATTGCAGACTTCACGTCTAGGTCAATGGAATTGAGACTTCTTGTTTACTTCCTGTCGTGGTATAGGCGTGGCATCGTTCCTAGTATGGTTTAGTGTAAATGATTGCATATATGCTAGATCACTGAACAAAACATTTGAAAAGGCCCAGATCAGAAACATAGGGCCTTTGAGGGTCTATGTAGTCGACGATAAATGTTCAATGTGTCAATTGCACTTTCAATCCCAAAACTCCATATATTTGAAGCATCGGCGCAGCGCAGAACATTGCAGCTTGAGAATCCAGATCATGTCTGGTCTTCGCAAATTGAATGTCTTGTAGTCCCCAGGAATAGCACGCATTAAGCGTACAACTAATATCCCAAGACTACCTTACCTAGTCCCTACTCGTCGCTGCGGCACCCCACCCGTTGCACGGGTTGGTCGCCTCCACCTCACGAATAACTCCATCTCACGGATAACAAAAAACACATACAAATCCTGTTTTTTTAAGGGTGTATAACTCTGCTAATATTAGAGTATTCGTTTTTAGATAATTGAATTAGCTTTTTTATCTTAAGATCTATATACATTTATTTTTTAAACTGAATGTACTATGTATTCAGAGAGTTAGATAAAAAGATGCCTAAAAATACTTTAATATTCAGGCATTTTTCGTAGAATACTCCTTAAAGATATTCTACTTAAAAATTCTGTTTCTCTTTTGGTCTATCTTATAATAGATAGCTATTTCTATGCTCTATTAGAATCTATGAGCCTAGAATTCAAGCTGAGGAAGTTATAAAACTTGAAAAGGTAGAATTTGTATGTGTTTTTTGTTATCCGTGAAATGGAGTTATTCGGCAGGGGGGTTCAAACGTAGCGACGAGTACCTTTTAGGTTGAAGGGGGAGAACGCCACGTGATTCAAATCTCCCCAGTGGCTGGAACACCTACGGACCACCAATCATGGGACTCCGCAACTCCCTCGCCGCCTGCTCCTCCTAGGTATGAGAACCTAGCCTGTTGACCTACCTGCCTATACTACGCAATTCACACAGTGTTTCTAGCTCACCGGGTGCTTCCTTTTGCAGGTTACTGCGAAGCCAGAGAAGAACAACCGAGTGTTCTATTCATACTGACAGCCAGCCATGAAAGCCAGTAAAAATCAGCTGAGAAGAGCAAAGAAGAAAGCTCTGAAGTCCCAGGTACGTTTTCAATTTAAGGCCTAGCAGCGACATTATCAATTGACTAGCGCTTTGCACAGACTAGTTCGACCGAGATTGTCCGCGGCACGCCTAATGGGCAATCTACGGGCCATAACGACCCTTCGCTCCCTGGACCCGAGGTCATTTCGCAAAACTTCCAAAATACCATAGCTTTGGAGAGTGGTGATCCACTATGGCATATGTATAAGGATGTCATTGGCAAATTCGAAGACTCCCAAGATGGAGAAATAGAAACAAAGGAGCTTTCCAGACCCATCATCTATTTTGATGATGATAATGAAATCCCGGACGAGGAGGAGAAGGAGCCTATTCTGTCAAGACGAAAACGGAAGGAGTTGAACAAACTCTCTGTCGCCGAATTGAAGGCAATGGTTCGGAAGCCAGAGATTGTCGAATGGACAGACACATCAGCGCCCGATCCAAGACTGCTTGTTCACCTCAAATCGCATCGAAATGTTGTGCCTGTGCCTGCCCACTGGTCATTGAAGCGAGAATATTTATCCTCGAAAAGAGGAGTTGAAAAGGCTCCTTTTGCATTGCCGAAGTTCATTCAGGAAACCGGGATATCTGAGATGCGTGATGCTGCTTTAGAGAAGCAAGAACAGGCGACTTTGAAACAAAAGCAAAGAGAGAGGGTACAACCGAAGATGGGAAGGCTGGATATCGATTATCAAAAGCTCTATGAAGCGTTTTTCCGATTTCAAACCAAGCCAGAACTCACACGTTACGGCGAGGTTTACTACGAGGGCAAGGAATATGAGACTAATCTAAGACATCTTCGACCTGGAGAACTTAGTGCTGAGTTAAAAGAGGCTTTGAACATGCCCCCGGGTGCCCCACCTCCGTGGTTGATCAATCAACAACGGTATGGTCCGCCTCCGTCCTATCCTGCTCTCAAAATACCAGGTCTGAACGCTCCCCCGCCTCCAGGCGCTATGTGGGGATATCACCCGGGTGGGTATGGAAAGCCTCCGGTTGATGAGCATAATAGGCCCCTCTACGGTGGTGATATTTTCGGCGTTCTACAACCTCAGCAGGCTGTCCAGCAGGGCGAGCCCGTGGAGAAGGATCTTTGGGGCGAATTGCAAGCACCGGAGTTAAGTGACGATGAGAGCGAGGACGATGAGGAAGACGCAGCTAGCAGTGATGGGGATGATGGTGATGATGTGGACACGGGAATGCAAACTCCTACAGGGTTGGAGACGCCCAGTGGGTTGACATCCGCTGTTCCAACGGAGACAGGCGGCCCTGAAAACATCGCTGGTGAGTTCGACGTGCGGAAGCATTATCGTGGAACCCAAACGGAGGAATCCGCGGCACAGAGAAGCGCCTTCCAGATCATCCCCGAGAGGCAGGCGCATGTTCAGGGATTTTTTGGGGCTGATAGAGTCTATGATCTTCACAAGACCTCGGATAGCCTACCGGTTCTGGGATCTGATGACAGCACCAGAAAGCGGAAAAAGCCGGGTGATGTCGATGTTTCTTTTGACCCAGATGCTTTGCAGACTGGGGAGGGAATGGGGCAGGCTGATATCAAGAAACTGTACGAGTCACAGAAGCAACTCGACATGGACCCTGGTTGGAATTTTCAAGAGGACTTGAGTGATATGATTGCTCATGAGAGTCGCAAGAGGCTGAAAAAAGAGGAAGAGAAACGTAAGAGATAGAAGGTACATTCTAGTACTTGATCAGGTCATAGAAGCAAGGTGACTGAAGTACACTCCATGATTGTTCCACCATTGCAAGTTCTGCTGTTCTCAACCGGGTGCTCTTACCAGTTGCTATAATTAAATGTTGCGCTGTCCTGATCATTTGTACAATAGGAGTATAACTCTCTTTATTTCTCCTGGTAGGGTGAATCAGCCAGTCTTTCGCTGGATCATCAATATCGATATGTCGGCATTCCTAAGCACTCCGGCCATGTGATCCAGAGGCCTTCATCTCTTGTTTATATGCAGAGAATCCAGCTAGTTCCAATAATGAAGTACTTGGAAATCAAGATATTACATAGCCTATCCTCAAGGCACTGAATTTCTTTTGGACTATAAGCCCATAGCCTTCAATTTAGTTCTATTTAATTCAAATTCTAATGATATAGAGAACCATGTAGAGGACTCGGCCCGCTTAATACAGCAAAGTAAGCTGTAAAGATACTTTGGTTGAAAACTAAAAACTAAACTGTTTTTATAATCTTATAATATCTTTGGAAATGAAAGTGGCTATATGAATTATTGGCATATGTAGCCTAGTATCACTGGGCTAAATACTTTAGATATATTGTAGGGGTTTTTAGTGTGGTTGATATTCTGCAATTTTTTTCCACCTTGTAGATATCTTTCAGCCTTTTCTGCTTTTTATGTTGACAGCATCTCTGTTCGGCCAGCTGCCAACCATTACTGCTTCTTGGTTACTGTGAAGTGCGGTGGGAATGTGATATACTGCAGTCTTAATTACCTAATCTAGTAGTATTTTAGCTTATTAAACCAACTGCCATGGGTGTTAAGGGAAATATGTCGGTTAGGTTTAGAATAGTAGCAGTCTATTGTAATCAAGACTAACCCTTGCTATTCTTGAGGTCTAGGAAGGTTCTAGGAGTTAAATACTAAGAGAGTCGGGGGTTATTAATATTACAACTGTTATACAGGGGATGTGTAGATGTAGAGTATGACGAATTTATAAATATGTAGTTGATTATTCCTCACAAAAGACCGAAGAATCGGCAAAGCTGAACATCTGCCGTACAGGCAGTTATAAAAGCAGCTATAAAACAGGATATCAGAATATTACTTATAATAATATATACTATAGATACCAGTTTTTAAAACTAACATTTTTGAAAGCTATATATATAAAATTAATATAGTTAATTTTAAAATATATTATAATCTGGAATATGAAATATATTAATATAAAGATATAAAGCACAAAATATTAAATATAGAAAATATATAAAGACATAAAAATATAAATTTGTAAAGATATAAAATAATATATTTTAAAAATATAAATATAAAGATAAAATATAGAATATATAAAAAGGGAAGATATATGGTATATCAGATCTAAAAATAAACAGATAAATAATATAAATAATAATCATATAGAGAAATAACCTATATAAAATATCTAAAATATATAATAATTTTTTAATTTTTTAATTAGTTTATCTGCGGTAATATTGGATATATAAACTTATATATTATTTTTAAAAATATATCCTAACCAATAGATAAGATATTAAATAATAAAAGTTTAATAACAGATATAATACATAGTATATTTATTAAAAATCTTAGACACCTTCTAACATTTTTATTATTAGAAAAGTATTCATTAATAATATAAGGCGGCTTAGTAAGGGCACAGCTATATAAATTAATACCAGCTAAAGCAGGTTTAATCTATACTATAAATATAACAAAATAAATACACTATATATCTAGAAAATAAAGACAATATATATATCAACTAATAATTTTAATTATAAAAAAAATTAATATATTACTATACTAGCTTTTTTTTATCTGTCTGGGAACAGCAGGCAGTATATAGCCTTTATAAAAATATAAATATATATTATTATCTAAAATAGAATATATAGATTTATAATTAATAATATATATTTTAATACTTTGTTGGTATTAAAATAATAAGTAAAGTTTTAAACATCTTTAGTGATATTAATGTGGCCGTCACTGATTCCATCACTGGTGGTGACTGTTGTTCCTGCCTGAGGTATTATCTGTATTATTAGTAACTATAGTCTACTGTAATATTATCTATAACTATTCCAGTCCTTAGAAATCCCTTTTTAATACAACTAATTCTTTATATATTAAATAACTTATTTATGTTAATTAATAGTATATCTCGCCTTTATTTTTAATACTTAAATTGTTAGTATATCTATAAATTTTTATTTTTTATTTCTAATATTATATTTATATATCTTTCTGCTTTATATATATAAACAGTATTA